AAACTACATTCTGACTTCACCTGTATACTGTACTGTTCATACATATACTGTTTCACTACAGAATATTGATAAGGGTTTAAAAAAAAAAGGCTGTACTTGCAGACAAAAACATCTTCAATATTTTAGTTCAAAGTATGAGCAAAACATTAATAGATTAAAAAATAAATCTGCTTTTTACACTGACATATTCTCTAATATTTCACAAAGGTGCCAATATTGGGGGAAAGCACTGTAGGTGTCCAATAAAACATTTAACTTTAATCCTTACCTAAATGACTCTCAAAGTTGTGTTTGGATGATGACTAGACTACAAATGAGCCTTTTAATGGCACTGAAAGAGTGTTTCCACTGTAAGTCAGGCTAGCTGTAATTTACACTGTTTGCGGCGTTTAGTGTCAGGACTAACATGGAGGTGCCGTCATTACGATCTGCTAATAAATGTCTGCAGGGGTGACTGCGGTTGCCCCAGTGGCAGTAACTGGGGTAATGTCTGTCTGAGACGAAACATTCAACAGGGGTGAAAAGTTCAAAGAGGAAAAAATGGTTACTGTACGAAAAGCCTTTTCCATAGAAATCCGATGTTTTCTCTCTTCAAATGGTTCTCATTTTTTGTTGGTCAGGGTCTATTGGTGCGTTTGGTTTCGCTCGCTGGGTTTTAGAGGGGCGTCAAACAGCTGATTCATGTCTCCAGTGTAATGAGGCAGAAGCGAACAGCAGAATCCTAATGCTGTTTCCACTGACTGATCATCTGCCAAGACAAAGCCACGGCCAGACTCGGAGACTGCACTGATCTGCCAAACTCTGCTTACGTTTGTTTATGAGTGTGTGCGTGCAAGTGTGTTGAAGAATCTGACGAAAAACAAATTTAAATTACGTGGCAATCATGGTTCACTCAACAATCAGCACGTCTAGGATACTGTGCAAATTTTGCCCAAACATCCAAGCAGGTGCTTCGCTTAGAAGCAGACAAGAGACTTTTGTTGAGCTTCAAACACTGCCATTCAAATGTTTTACTTACACCAGTGGCCTTAATAAAAACATATTAAACTCTTTTTTCATTAAAATCAGTGTTGTTTTAGTGTGATTTGATTACTATTGTGCTTTTATTAATAGTTTCTCTTAATTTTATCAGTGAGTTTTTTGTTTACAGAACTCTTTTCATTGTATGATTTGACTTTATGTGAGTTTTAAAAGTTATACTAGAAGAAAAGAAAAATGAAGAGTTCAGCTGCAAAAAACTCTAAATGCCATCTGATATTTTCTTATACAGTGAGCATTTTCTAAGCTTCTTATGTTTATGTTCAGTTCTTTAAAGTTAAAAAAGATCTAAATAACCTGTTTTTGCCAAAAAAAATGTGAAATGACTGAATCAAGACAGGAGCCTGAGAAAATGCTTACTTTAGAAGAAACTTTCAGATGGCACTCAGAGGCTTTTGCATCTGAACTCTTCAAATTAATTACTGTTCATATTTATTAAATATTTTTATTTCATTTAAAGTGTAACAAACGCAATTTTAGTTTAGCAAGTTATTTTTGGTTAAATTAATATCCCTATGTTAAACTAAAAACTTCATTCAAATGAAATCATGCATTTACATTTTTTTTAAACTAAATACAGCAAAAATTAAGATGTTAAATAAATAAATTTATATCATAGATACTTACAGTCTGCATTTATTACAGGAAAATGTCATTAAATATTGAATTTTTGGGGAAAAAAAACTTGCAAATGTTACAAAAAATAACCGCATTTATCTTAAGATAAGTATTTATCTTAATTTCCCTACCACTGTATCTTTAAGACCAACGTTAATTTTTTTTGGTGGAAAGAGAAGACCTAAGTTTAGCCAATGATGTGCTTTGGTTAAGTCACATGATATGATGTGTTTTTCTGTGCACGATTTCTGACAGACTGCCGTTTATTTTGAGTAATTGCTGAATGCAAATGTAGAATTAATTAAGTGGATCTAGATGAATTTGCATTGTATGCATTAAAAATTATGCAAATTTAAAAATGTGTTATTTTATTTCATGCATTAAGATTTAATATTTTTAAGTTTTACCAAAATATTTCAGCATAAATCTGCAGATTGTTTTTTTTTTTACAAAACTCTCTGCAGAAATAGCAAAAAATGTCCACAGATTCTGTCTAGCCCTAGGTATTATATATAAACATTGTTAGCAAGTAGCTACATTATTCTAATGCATCTGGATATGTTAGACTAGTTATTTATTTGTTATAATATTTACTGGAGGAAATATGTATACAAACATTATGTTTGCTTTTAATACTATTCAGCAAAAAAGAATGTAATGAATGAAAGCTGTGGGAATAGGAGTTGTTCGAAAGTATGTATAAGGTGTCATTTATAAGTTCTGTGTTAAAGCTTATTATACTGCAACACCATATAAATCACTTCAAATAACAAAATTATTAATTGTAAGGAAAGTTATAAAATGTCCAAGTTAGATCCACTATTGGACGTTGTTGCCAAATGGCAACATATCATAACGTATACCTTAAATATATAAACTACCCATTTTTTTACAGCACTAAGTTAAGCTATTCTAAGAAAAGAAAAAACAGTCAAATAGTTTTAGATCTAACATAATGCGTGCAGTAGAGGGTTAAACATTTAAATGTTAACAGTATTATTGTGCATCAAATTACTTTTAACTGTAAAACTCGCCTATTTAGTTAGTCAATCTATTAATACTAAACTATTAGACAAAAAATTATAGAGATAATATTATATTGTGTTTAACATAAAATTAAATACAACAAATGTATAACAAATAAATAGAATGGTGACTAAAACGTTAATTAACAAAATAAAAATATAAAGAAATACAAAATTACATTTAGAAACACTGTTTTTAGCAAACAAGTACTAAAAAAAACACAATTTTGCAGATAAATTTGAAGAAACACATTCGTTCTGTCACACTTTGTTCCACTTTTCTGACAGCTGAAAATCCCAAAAAAATGGGGGCTGACAAAAGAACTCCTAAAAAAAAAGCTTAGGTAAAGCAGAAAATAAAATGCAGTGTGACAAAATAAGAACATTTGAGACTTCACATAAGTCACTTGTTTATGTGTGCCTCATTGCTGCCCGAACATAATGTTTCTCTTTGCACTATATTTCACTGCGCTGAGAGAAAAGGGGGAGGAAATGCTATAAATTCAATCACTTCTTTCCTTGATGCCACAATGGTGTGTATTCAGAGAGAAAAGCAGTTAGCGCTGCGACTGGCTTACACTGACTCCAAATAGACAAAGAGTGATGGTGGAAAACACACTGTTAGCAAGAGTCATGGGCAGACACGCTAAAATAGGTAGCAGGGAATGTTTACATGACAACGATGCGAATAAAAGCACATATCTTTAGCAGATCACAGTGTAAAAATGATTCACATTTACACGGACCTGCAGAAACAACTAAAAACACTGTATATTATGCGCATGACAGGCCAGCAGTTAGTTACTTTGTAAAAGTAAAAAATCTTCCAAATGTTTTTTTTCCATTTAATAATGTACTTCAGTACTACTTTTCATTTACTTATGTACAAAAGGATGTACTTACTTTATTTATTTCAAAAATAACCAATCGACCTTTTCCTCCACGACTACAGAATTCCAGATTATGGGTTTGGGAAACTTTTAAATTGCAAAACATTAGAAATAATATTAATAATAATGAATCCATCCATAGTGGAAACAGAGAAGGTATATTAGGCATTTTTATAATAAGCTTCCATGAGTTAATAATTGTTAATGTATTACTAACATGGACTAAGTATGAACAATACTTGTATAGCATTTATTTATCATACCAGGAAAAAAAAAGTAAAATAACGGCCATTAAATGACAGGAATTTACCGGGAAATAATGGACACTGAATGACAGAAATTTATTGGAAATTTGAAGTTAAGGAAATTTCTGTCATATAACGTGTCATTTTACAGTAAAAGGTTAAAAGGCGTTAGTTTATTTTATTTTTCCGGCACACCAGCTTTCAGAAAAAACCTGGAAAATAACAGATATTTACAGCGTACACTACACAAAAACATCCATAAATAAACAGTTTTCCGTATTTTGATATTCTTGTTTTTATTTTTTCTTATTTATGCTTTTGGATCGCTTTATGAGACCTTAATCTTTCTGACAACTTTTAACCTTGAAGGTTTAAAAAAAAAACTGCTTAACATTTTTAAGTTTAAAGTTATATATTGTCTGGGTTGGTGTTGTATTTTACGATGCAAACCTTGTGATAAGCTGGCAGAACATTTTCTGTTTTTGTTTGTGCCACATAAAGCTTAAAATCTCTCATTTTAAATAAACTACAGTAACTACACTTGAAAACAAAAGTTTTTTGGATTTGTAATCTGTATGAAACCAGCGCAAGGTACAATTCATCTTGTCAAACGCACATCACATGACAACAGCAACTACTCAAACGCCCCACAAACTTGTAAACAAAGAGTCACTTTCATTTCTGGAAGAGATTCACCATCAAGACCATGTTGTGAATTACTTCAGAAGAGCAGCGCAACCAGACGATCCTTATTCAGAGGATGAGAATGTGTACAACGGCCATTAATGAGGTTAGTGTCATAGTCTCGTTCCTTTCGAGTATACAGGTGCATTAGCTTGGGCAACCTGAACAAATGCCAGTTTTGTTAGATTTGAATGTTTAGAAATGAAACTTATAAGACGGTTGTTGCTTTATTTTATTGGTGATTCCAAATATGTAATGCAATCGTAAGCTTGGCAAACAGTTTTGGAGAATTTGGTATTTCCCCTTTCAGACAGAATGCCCGAGCATACGGTCCGAGAAGCATTTCAAAGAGGGCCGCAGAGTGAAATGACTTGCCTTAAAGGAATTTTGGTTCAGTCAACAAAAAGGCAACACTGAAAAGCGCATTCAATGTGATCGGTCACTAAGACAGCAATATAAATCCTACAATATATTTGAGATGAAAACACCACCACTTTAAATATTTTTGTGCATATTATTTTATTTGAAAATATTTGATACACTGGACTTTGCACTGCAAGTCTCATGTCAAGATAGATAACCATAATCATATACTGTGTATCTAACCTATTGGTTTGTATTCTTTTGCTTATCCCAGGGTTCTCGGTTAGACTCGACTGCGACATTTCTCTGAGACATTTCATCTTTGGTACAATACTGATTCTTAGCTGCCTGAACAAAAACTAGCAGCTATTTGAGCCATTCAACTCTTTTTTGAGGAGGCCAAAATACGTATAAAACATTATAAACGTAGGACTATTGGTCCTGCGGTCAGTGTTGCTGTGCCCGTATGATGGACACCTGTCACTCAAACCCTGAGCTAAACAAAGTCGTCAAGCTGAGTGGAAATTTGCCACTGGCATCAGCCTATCCTTTCACTCAAGCAACACATTTCCTAAAAAAAAACACACTTTTCTCAGCTCATCACAAACGTGCCAAGTCCCATGTGCATACTTTCTAAATATGATAACACTTACTGCTTTCCTAAAAATCCTGGAATACACAACTGTTCACAAGCCTGGGGTCAGTACAATTTTTAGATTATGAGAGCTTAATCAGCCTGCATTTATTTGCTCAAATAATTTGATAATATTGTGAAATATTACCATTTAAAACTGTTTAACATTTTAAAATGTTCCTGTATTTGCAGCATCATTATCCAGTCTTCAGGATCACATGATCCACAAACGATTCATTTTCTTTCAGCTTAGTCCTTTTATTTTTGAGGGGTTGCCACAGCAGAATGAACCGCCAACTTATCCAGCATATGTTTTACACAACAGTACTGGGAAATGTCACAAACATTCCAAATTAAATATTAAGTAGCTGTTTCCATCCAAAGATGTGAATTGAACTTGCTCAAAAATCATAATCACTGTAAAAAAATCAATCCCATGAGCTCAACATAATAAAAGTGTTAATATCTTGAAAACATGTGCAATGTATTAACAGTAAATATGAAAACACAGAAGCCTGTGCCTCTTATTTTTCTGAATAAAAACTGCTATGCGTGTCTTTAGGATGTAAAGGACATTCAAAAATCCAGCATTTATTTAAAACAGATCTGTTGTAGTTATAAATCTCTTTACAGTCCCTGTTGATCAGTCTGTTATCAGCTTTGACAATGTATATTGTAAAAGCGCTAAGTGAATAAAGATTAATTTAATTAATTAATTAAGCCTTTGCTGGTGTCACAGTGACGCAGTGGGTAGCACGATTACCTCACAGCAAGAAGGTTGCTGGTTTAAGCCTCAGTTGGCCTTTCTGTGTTGAGTTTGCATGTTCTCCCTGTGTTCGTGTGGGTTTGCTCCAGTTTCCCCCAAAGTCCAAACACATATGAATTGAATAAACTAAACTATCCATAGTGTATGTGTATGGGTTGCAGCTGGAAGGGTATCCGCTGCGTAAAAAATATGCTGGACAAGTTGGCAGTTCATTCCGCTGTGGCGACCCCAGATTGATAAAGGAACTAAGCTTAAAACGAAAATGAATGAATGATAATAATTCGCCTTAGCTTAATGATTAATGTCAATAAAATACTGACCTCACACTTTAAAAAGTGGTGCAAATATCATTCTATTTAACCATAACGTTTTCTTTCTTTTACACCTTTTCCTTTTCTTTCCAACATTGCAACTTTAAATACACAAAGGCATACATCTGTGCAAGCCCTTCCTAAATGGCAAATATGTGAAATCTGTGTGAACATGCATTTCTGAGAATAATTCAAGGCACTGGTCACTTGCAAAATGCTGCCTGCATGCAATTCTCCAAAATCCATGGGGAAAAGCAGACAAACCGAAACAGACACACATAATAAACACCTAAAAAAAAACAACTTCTGACTTGCACAGATTGAAATCACCAGGGCTCAATTTCCAGCCAGAAATAAACACATGTAAAATCATGTTGTAGTCTCTGCAAAACCAGCTGCTTGATTCTCGTTTCTCATTCCTAAAAGCTTAACTCGGTTCAGAGTCACTATATAAAAATAGATTTATACATATAGATATATATATATATATATGGATAATCGTATATAAAAACGGCTGAACATTGGGATATAAATAAAAGTGAAAAAGGCTTCACATTCTGTGTAACAAAACAAACTATTTGGCAAATTCAACATTCATTTACTAAAAGTGCATCATAAAAGTCATACGACGCTTAAGGCACAACACTTAAGTAATACGCTTTCTTTGGCTGGGCTGATGAGAAAACCACTATACATCCTAATGTGCTTTCAATAACATCTCGACACATCCAAATTGACCCATACGAAATTCCCAATTTGACTGATGGCAATGGAAACACTATTAGTGGGATTAGCTGCATCTTAAGTAGTCCCGCTGCTCTCTGCAGGACACTAGAAGGCACTACTACGGTAAAACACTAAGTCCAACAACAAAACTCACTGCTATAACACTATAACCTCATGACCTGACCCTCGCCATCTGACATCAAGTACGAGAATAAGCTGCTTTCTGTAACAGATTGAAATGGTTGTTATGAACAACAAATCAAGGAAGTGCAATTCCACAAAGACTAATCAATACATAAGCTTAACCACGACGTGCATAAGACCCTCACTCTTCTGAGGCGGGAACCCATCAAGACTATTATTTATTACGTTTCCTTTAACACTAAGTGCCATAGACGATGGGCGAACATGGGGAGCCCATGTGGAAGGGGAAATGACACGTCAAACACTGACATTGTGGACATTCATTAATAGGAGACATTTCTTAAATATATCTGAAAAACTCATCCAAGGGTCAGACAGATTGACCCGGTAGGCGTTAGAAGGCACATTTGGCAGTTGTTCTGTTGGAAGAAGCTCTAACAGCATCATGTTTGTTGCATCTGCTCATCCTGTAACACCATCGATCTGTTTCCTAGTTTAAAACATATATAAACAAGTCCTCTTGCGCCCCCTGCTGTCATAAACAACAAACCAGTTCTGTGACCTAATCCAGCAGACAGCTGATTGGGTGCTGGCAGGTCACATGGTCTGGAAAAGCAGACTGCCTCTGAAATGAAGCTACTCTTAAATGTTTTTTTTGTTGTTGTTCTGCGAGGGGTTTGTAACCTGCAGCTTGATGAATAGTGGAACTCCTCAGCACAGGATTTGGGAGAAGGGATGTCTAAGCAGCTCCTCCGCGCTGGGTCGGTATTTGGCCTCCACGAAGATGCAGCGCAGGAAGTCTCTTGTGTGTTCTGAGATGTGTGAGGGCAGCTGGGGGTTTGTAGGCTGAGTGGCGATCTTAAATATGGCAGCCATGGCCTCGAATTCAGCCCAGGGGGGCTTTTCTGTCAACATCTCCACCACAGTGCAGCCCAGACTCCTGTTAACACAACATAAAGAGCATGAAAAATGAACTGTTAGGTCGCAGGATGTTGTTTATTTAACATTCAGCATTTTTCACATACTTATTCTTGTTTTTTTTCATTAACTTTACAGATTCCAGGTGTTTCAAAGTATGAGTCAAAGATAAAACTAACTAGTTCCAAAAAAAAAGGATCATATCATATAGTAACTTTTATTTAATGCAAGTTAATATCGTTGACTATCTTTGTGGCATAGATCAATCTGAAAATAGTGGTACCTCGCTATAACCCGTTCACCTTTCACTGCCTTGCAGTTTTGCAAATTTCTTCATGCAATTTGACTTGCTTATTTTGTGTCACAACCCAGAATGCGTTTAGCTTTCCAAAAATTCAATAAATCTTCGATCGCTACCAGTGTGACTCTGACATGCTGTGCTGTATATTTGCAAGTTTTCTCCCCACAATGTCGACGAAACGTTCTGCACTGTCAAAGGCAGCTGCGGTAGCTCCTAAAAGGCAGAGGAAGATGCTAACCATCGCACAAAACAGTTGGACTTCTGAACATGCTAAAGGAAGGCCAATGTTATGCAGCTGTAGGGCGCCATTACGCAACAAACAAACGAAGATCAAATGGTTTTGATCTGTAGTTTCATTCTATAATACTGGATGTATTTTTCTACAAAGGTTTGAACTTTGAGAGTTTTAAACAAGAGGAAAGTGTGAAAATGTTAATGCCTGTCAGTAAAAACTGTATAAAGTGTGTAGTGAGGGGTTTTACAGCCCTAAAACATATATAATCATTGTCAAAAATAAAGCTGACTACTTCGCAGATTTTCTATTGCCGGTAAAAAAAATTTTTTTGAGTATAACTCCCGCAAATAACAGGTGACCACTGTAATACAAATATAATAAAAAATTCAAACCTTTCAAATAAACAAACTAAAGTTATTCACATCACACAGTATACTGTTTTTAGACCACTGCAGCCCAAATTAATAATCAATTGTAATTTTAAAATAAATGTTTTGAAATCATCCTTTTGATGTGTTTTTTCTCATTTGTTAAATTAAAAAAAATCTATTTAAAAACTGTGATTCTTATTTATTTTTTTACATATTTGGATAAGGTACAGCTAAGAAAAAGGTAATAATAGTTGCTTAATTTGTACATAAATCTATTTGTTTTACTGAATACATATCTGGCATTAATATTTCAAATAACTTTCATGAAAATTAAAAGTATAAACCTGTAATTAATATGATTTCTGTTCATCTAAAAGTTGTAATTAAAAAGCCCCTTTTATGGGTTTCTGATAATGACCTTCCATGCAGTGTAACACAGCACTAAGTGAAGGGAAATATCCAGCTGAGATTTAAATTTGAAAGTGCACCATGTTTAAATCTATTGTTTCTTTAACGAAATAGTCAACTCAGAGTTGAATAAATGGGTTGGGTTCAGATCTTTTGCCTGAACACATCGACAAAGTACATCACCAAATATGTAGAACTGGTTCCGGTAAAACATGAATGCGCCTTTCCATTCAGACACTAGAGGAGTGCGGAAGATCATGGGATTGATCTTGACATGTAAATGATGATTACTGTCAGATGGAGATTCTGCTGCGGGGAATAAGAGGTTAAAGTTGATTTTCGCAACAACACCAAAAGCCAACTTGTCATTTTTTTTAGATTTTTGATACACTAACCTATGCGGCCACACAGCTTTTGCCGACCGTTTGCTATTAAAGGAGCAGCAGAGACTATTATATATGGGACTTTGTCAGACTTTGACAGGGACTTTGTCGGTAACTGTTGTAGTTCATATGGACCAGTTTCTTCTTCCTCCAGATTATTGCCTTATTTTGTGTAGTTTGCAATGTATGTGTTAAATAGTGTGTTGTAAGTTGTAATCGCTCCATGCGGCTTGTAATCATGTATCTTTTATAGATCCGTGCTTGTACTGCATCTCTCAGGTTAAATCTGTATGGGGCTATTTTCGGACCTTGCATGCATATCAGCCTGTTGTTGGAGCCCCCCAAATCCAAAATTTGACCTTTTATAATGCAAAATAGGGGCTCTTTAACACCATATTTTGAACTAATCTAAAAAAAAAAAATTTGACTGATTTTTGTTTCAACTAATATAAAATTATGAAAATTGCTCTCTCTATTTTGACAAAAAAAAGTTTAAGAAAATTAAGTAAAATAAAATTATATATTTTTAATGAAGTAAAAATTAAGTATATTTATCTTGTTTTGTTGATGTTTATAGGCAACTTAATAGCAAAATAATATTTCAGAAATGATTAAGAAAGATTTTCGGCAGTGTTGTGTGCTAAAGTGCAATCAGGAGGCCCAGACAACCACAAACTTTCCAGCTCACTTTTAAAAATCTGACAAGCAGCCAATCATAACGCTCTCCTGACCTGCCGGGAGACTGTCCAATTGGTTTATGCTGGGAAATCCCTGAACAGCATCTAAACCCCTCTTCTGACTGGGAATCTGTGTTCTTCTTAAGAACATAAAAATAGCTAAATTCTTCTACTCCCATTTTAAATCATAGATAAAAATAGGTTCCTAATATTTAGAAGATGCTGCTTTTTTAAACTCTTTGCAACATACATCACCATACAAGTCTGCTTTATAAACAGTTTACAGTACAATGCGACTCTTAGACTGGAAGAGTTCATCTAAATGCAGCAAACCTGTTTCTGTTTATATTACGGCAAGCGTCAAACCATCTAACATTCACTTCCACAAATCCCAGCTGCTTTCCTCATCTAGTAACATAAGATTTTGAGTTGTTATGCTTCCAAGACTGAAATTGAAAAACAAATTTCCAAAGCAAAAAGGTTCTACACTCAGCGTCTTGGCAAAGAGAATAAAACATTTCTCCTTTATGAATTAGTTTTTTATAAACATCATAATTGTGCATAAAAAGCTGCTCTCACCAAACATCCGCCTTCCGGCCGTACCCCTCTCCACTAATGACCTCAGGGCTCATCCAATATGGCGTTCCGGTAACGGAACGAACCCCAGTGCTGGACATGCAGATGGTCTGAAGCCGCTTACTGGCACCAAAATCTCCTAGCTTCACATTGCCAGCTGAATCTCGCAGGATGTTGGCACCTGAACGGACCAAAGGAAGTGATCAATGGTGAAAAGTTTTTGATTCATACAAGCTTTGATACATTTCTCTTGCTCCTGCTCGAAGTCAACAAGAAGATATGCAAACTCAAAAATTCCTGAATACTAAAACATGATTTAAAGAAAAAAACACATCAAATACTTTTGCTAATTTTTGATGGTATAAATAAGCAAAGCAGCATTTTTTTGTTGTTGAATGATTTAAGAAATAAATAAGTTAAAAAAATAATAATAATGAAAAAATTATTATTATTATATGTATATGTACATATATATATATATATATATACACACACACACACACACACACACACACACACACACACACACACACACACAAAAATGAATGAACAAATATACACACTTGGGATGCTGCTATACTAATAATGAACCATTTGAAACGGATCAAAATGGTCATATGCCTCCACAGATCATATGCATATCGAAATTGTGCTTTTTTGGTTTTGCATTAAAATATCTGTTAAAATTTATTGCAAAATTAGCATTTTCCATCTTCCTTTAATTACTCTTCATGGTTTCCGCTAAATACGTTCTTCCATGGTGTGCGTGCATGATGCGTGAGGCAAGCAAACACGACGTAGCCTTCAGTTATGATAAGAACAGTTTCCATAATTATACTTCATTTATAGATAAAAGTCTATGGTTCTGCATACAATGACTTTATCTTGCCGGAGTTTATTTCGGTTTCACTTTACTTCAGGAAGCATTAATGCCGCTTTGTGGGTCTATTGGAGAATCTTATAAATATCCCAAGCAAATCTTATAAATGTTGGAGACATAATTGTTACATAAGCGCACTAAATCGCACTTCAGAAGCGTTTATTTGAGAGTGCACAAGAAGATCTGAGCTTGAGCAGCGTATATTTGAGGCGGCGTGCAAGAAGTTTTGTGCATAAGGAGAGGAAATCGGTCCGCAAGCAAAGAGATTCGCATGCTCGTATTACATAAATGCGCTCACAACATTTCTCCATTTGTCATTGAAATAACGCCATAGGTGGTTGATAAATTTGTGTAAAAGACCTGCCGCCACAGCTGGAAAAACACTGCTCTCTGAACTGGCTCTGTGCAAGTTAGAATTCATGTTCAGGCTCAACACAAGTAAATGTCCCATCAGTGAATATTATAGTGAGACATGCCGCATGTCAGCATGCGAGCACAGGTGGGTCCAGAACCAGAAATTGCCTGACATGCAGGAGATCTTAGAAGTACCTCATTAGTACAAGTGAATGAAATTTATGATGTGCAAATTAAGTCTTGCTTCACAATGGTAAAACTCAATTTCAACAATAATTATTTCCATCTGTCTGACTTGACGAGCATTCAATCAGTTATGTTTTGAAATGACTGTAACTTTCACATTGTGCTGTGTCGCATCTTAAAGTTAAAACATCTTATTCCTGTTATCAGTTTTTCATATATATTAATCAAACAACAAAAGATAATTTAAATGAATCAATCTGCTCTCGACTAAATAGCTGGATAGGCTACTCTAGATCCATAATGGTTAACCTTTATTTAATTTTTACACTGAAGATATAGTATGCAGTGTTATTTTTTATTAGATTTTTCTTAGAAATATAGATTTTTATTTAGCTTTTTCAAAACTTAACAATACAGAACATTGAAATTAAGCAACAAACAAACTAAAGTAAACCATACACACAGTACATAAAACAAATAAATAAATAAATAAACAAACGGAGGATATACAGTTTAAACCAATGGAGAAAACTATTTTGTCATATTAAATCATGTGGTACAGCTTTAATATAATTCAAAATGGATTCCAATTATTTTTTAATAATTCCCCTTTCCTCTCAAAGAATATGTGATCTTCTCCAATGGTATACAGTTGAGGTGCACTTTTGAGATCCACAGTCCAATTAGTACATCAATGTCTGTTTTCTATTTTAAAGCAATACATTGTTGAGCTATTGTCAAAAACATTTCAGTAAGCTTAAAAGCTTGATTATGCTGGAGGTAAGAATCAATTCCATGAATCTGTGATATGATATTTATTCGTTTATATAACTGAAAACTATTGCTAGATACATGAAAAGCCTGAAAGCATTGCTTATTTTAGTATTATCTTTGCTATATTGTTTTGTCTTACTGGACATATAAACCGAAAATCGTGCCAAAATCGTGACCCAGAAACCATGAGAAGTCTGTATTGTTGTACTACTAAAACACTCACGCACACACACACACACAACACACAGACTACAAACCTTTGATGTCCCTGTGGACGATCATGTTGCTGTGCAGGTAGGACATGCCTTCCAGAATCTGTCTGGTATATTTGCGTGTCACATTCTCCGTCAAAGCCCCATAAGCCTTCAGCTGGTCTTTGACTGAACCCTGAGGGGTGGAAAGATCACACTGAACTCTATATCACAACAGCCGTATTGTTATTAAACAGGTGTTCCGTGACACATTTCAACCCATACAATAAAGAGATCTGGCATTACAGCTACAGTGCACCAAAAAAGGAAACTATGTCATTGCATACTCACCCACATTCAAAGATGTATATGGTTAATTTTTCCTCAGGAACACTATAGTAGTAGTTTCCATAGATTTTTTTTTTCCAACAACGACTCGTCCTAATTGATTTCCAAACGCTTAATAAATGTGGTTCTTTTATCAAACTCACCCCGGGCATATACTCCATGAAAATGGTAAGCGTCTTCTCATTGTGGTCTCTAAGGCAGCCGTAGTACTGGACGATTCGTTCATGATGCAGGTTTTTCAACAGCTGTATCTCACACTCTAAAGCACTCACCTCCTGCAGAAAGAGGGGCAAGAGTCATGACACGACCACAGCTGAGCAGAGCAGCTATGACCAGAGGGGGCTATGAGGGAGATGACTGTGCATGAAGGTGGAAGATCAACTAAAAACACACAAACCACAACACACTAATGCCAAACTGTTAACATGTAGATAAGAGAGATTGAACATCCAGGAGGTGCTTTTTGCTTTTGTGCATGTCTGTGTGTGTGTTTGTGTGTCAATTGGGGGCATGATCAATGAGAAATGCTTTGTTAGACTACCCCGCTTCCCCTCGCCTCAAACCCCCTCTGAACCAAATACACAATCACACACAGATACAGGAAGCGAGAGTGCATGTTTTTGCAATGGCAGACAGGAAAGGATTTGAAGAGAGGGGGAGAAGTTCAAGAAAGAAAGATAAATCAGGGGGGAGAAAAAAACATGCTGGTAATCTCAGAGAAAAACAACAAAGGAAAGAAAATTAAAAGAAAAAAAAGAGAAAGAAAAGAAAAAGAACAATAAAAGAAATAAAATGAAAACTTTAATTCTTTTAGTATTATGAATCTCATTCATAATAAATAAAAAGAAAAACAAATAAATAAATCTACAAATAAATGCATAAATAAATAAATAAATGAATAATTAAAAATAAGTAAAAAAAATTATAAATGCATAAATTAATAAGTAAAAAATGATGCATAAATAAACAAATAAAAAAATGCAAGAATAAATAAATAAACAAGTAAAAATATAAATGCATAAATAAATAAATATATAAATGCATAAAAGTAAAGATATAAATGCATAAATAAATAAACAATTAATAAAAAATGAATGCACTGATAAAAAATGTATAAATAAATAAAAAAATGTAAAAAATAAATGCATGAATAAATAAATAAACAAATAAATAAATGCATAAATAAATAAATAATAAAAGTATAAATAAAAGCATGATTAAATAAATACGACAAAAAAAAAAAAAACATGTACCTTGCTGGTCTCTGGACTGGCAGGGTCAAAATGAACCTGTTTTGCTGCAAGTTCTCTGCCCGTATCCACATCATAGCACAGATAAACCCTTCCAAAAGCACCCTGACCCAGCAACTTCCCTCTGCGCCACGTCACTGGAGCTGTAGGGGCTACACATATGCACATATAAATACACAATGATTGGCTGAACGACAAAGTAATTGACAGTTTCACTCAAAAGCATACATGGGCACATTCTCAAAACTTTTTAAACCGTTTCTATTGACCTTATTTTGCAATGCAAAAGTAAGCTCTATTCTGCAATAGTTTTAGAATTTCCAACTAGGAATATGATAATACATATCTTAGGGGTGCCAAACTCAGCAGCCCAGCACAAACTATTTCCAACCTTCCTTCAATACACTTACCTAGGGGTTTAAAACAAGCCTGAAGGACTCCATTAGTTTGATCAGGTGTTAAAGCCAAACTGTGCAAAACGAGTTTGACACGTGATATATGTTGCATGAACAAAATAAAAAATGTAAAGTTTCATATATTAGCGATTATATGTGGTGTCCCAAAATACATTGATTACAGTAATCAGGGTTTGGCAATAAAGATGTGTGAGAGATGCACAGTATTGTCAGTACTGCCTTGTCGCTCAAGTTTATAATTTTCCATTGACCATTTTGCAATATGTGTGCAAATGCAATCTTACAATAAATTGTAAAAAAATGTTAAATTAAAATACTGTTCATGTTAGCAAAAGGAGGCAGGTGAAAACATACAACAAATGAATTAAAAGTTTGCAACATAAAATAAAAATAAAATCTTGAACCAATAAATGTACTAATGGCTGTAGCTGCTCTTATGTGAAAGCATAAGGTCAATAAGATCATTCAGTCATTTATTTTCTTGTTGGCTTAGTCCCTTTATTAATCTGGGGTCGCCACAGCGGAATGAACTGCCAACTTTTTGTTTTACACAGCGGATGCCCTTTCAACTGCAACCCATCTCTGGGAAACATCCATCCACACTCATTCACACTCATATACTACGGACAATTTAGCCTACCCAATTCACCTGCACCGCATGTCTTTGGACTATGGGGGAAACCGGAGGAAACCCACACGAACGCAGGGAGAACGTGCAAACTCCACACAGAAACGCTAACTGATCCAGCAGAGGCTCGAACCAGCGACCTTCTTGCTGTGAGGCGACAGCAATACCTGCTGTGCCACTGGGTCACCCCTCAATAAGATCATATATTACAAAACACTCACACTTATGAGGGACTGCCCGGTCCTGTGGACGAAGTCTGGACTGAGTATTCTCCAGCTGCCAGCTGCCCAAACTCTCCTCGCTGCCGTTCAGAGATCGCCGTGATGGCACCAACGTGAACAAATTTCCTTGCGGACGACGTATTCGTGGGAATGTCCGTCGACCTGAGGAGCAACAATATTTGTATTAGGTGTAAGACAGTAATTCAATCAATTCAATTCATCTTTATTTCTATAGCGCTTTTACAATGTAGATTGTGTCAAAGAAACTTAACATCATAAGTTCTAGTAAACTGAAACTGTGTCAGTTCAGTTTTCAGAGTTGAAGTTCAGTTTAGTTTAGGTCAGTGTGGTTTAATTTTCATTGCTGAAAGTCGAAACACTGAAGAGCAAATCCTTCGATGCGCAGCTGTACAAGTCCCTAATTAAGCAAGCTAGTGGCAACAATAGCAAAGAACAAACTTCACCAATTGACGAAAGTGAAGGAAAAAAACTCGAGAGAGACCCGGCTGTGTACTAATAATGTGTACAACAAAAATGTAGTGTAATGTAGAGCAGGGATTCCCAACCGGTGGGCCGCGGCCCACTAGTGGGCCTCATCAATCCTGCAGTTAAGCTCTTTAAAATATGCGCATAGTTGTCCAAATTAATGTCCTGCCAGTGATTTACAATGGACACGTGAGACTTTGTGTTTTAGTGAACATCTGTTCTCTGTTTCTGTCAGCGAACTCCAATAATGTTCAGCAACAAACCAAACCGCCCTCAGATCGATGTGTTTTAACAGATTTAGAGTGTTTTTGCGTTGTTTTTCTTTTGTTTTTAATGGATATGAATAGTAGACCAATAGATGAATAGTAGTCAGTCTAATTCAAAGCAGCAGCTGTTTTTGCCATCTCCTGTAGTCCTGTCAGGTTCACTTTTTGAAGAAATACCCAAATACTCTGCAGTTGTGTTTTTTTCCAAATATTGAAATACATATTGTTAGTTTTTTTTTAATAAAATGATGTAGAATAATAAAAGAATAATAGAAGGCAAATGAAATGTTTTGCTAATAAATAAAGCTTTAAAATAAGCATTTTCCTTAGACAATCAGTTTGGGCCTTAAAAAAAAATCAGAGAGGGAGGTGGGCCTCGAAGGGAAAAAGGTTGAGAACCACTAATGTAGAGTGTCATACCTTCACTGTGATCTTTATGATGCATCGACACATGATACCTGCGAGGGTACGTCCCTCCTTTGCCAACAATCTTATCATAAACATGGTTTTCCCGGTCTAAAACACAAGAATGGGAAATGTAAGTCAGTGGAACAGCTCATTTGTAAAACTTAAGCGGGAAAGCAACTGATATGAAATGCACCTGAGCAGTCTTGTCGGTTGTCAGGATAACTCTTAATCCTGTGTGTTCGAGATTTCCTGAGAGAGGGACTACAAAACAAAACAATAAGTGCAAAATAACACTGCAACAGGTGATTACTATTGCAGAATATTTCATCATTCATTTTTTTGTAGTCTCAGGAGAGAGATTTCACATATGGCAATGATCTCCATCAACTTTAATATCGATCCTCACCTGTCAGAGTTACTGTCCAGTGACTGACAGCTGCCGGACACAGAGTTTTCAGCACTGCTCCAAGGATCCAGCACCTATAAATGTAGGTGTATTATTTGGTAAATAGACTTAGATTGCACACTAGCTGATTTGGTAACTGCATGTGGTGTTTAATGTATTATATTCCTAAATTCTCACATATAAAACCAGTTAAAAGCATATTAAGTGGTATTTCTATAGGGACGTCAGACTTTTTAACGATAATAATATTACTGTATTGTTGATAAATGCATCCATAGGATAATTATTTCAAAAATAAAATCATCGAGACCTCAAATTTGTGAATAGAACTGTATAGAAATATTGATTCATCTATTGAAACATTTCATTTTCCAGCACACTGAACACAACACAAAGTATTATATGAGCGAAGGTTTAAAATCGCGCTCTGACATATCTGTACATGTGCAGTTGAACTCACACACTGGTCGCTGGTTTCAGGTATAAACTCCCCCTCGCTGTTGATGCTGGTGTAAGAGCCCTGACGTGCGATTCGCTGCTGCCGCTCAGGAACGTAGCCAGGAGGTGGTGAACTTCGGCCAGTGTTCTGCGAGCCTATGCAATTATAAAACAAAAGGAAAACATGTCATATCTTCATGTCAATCTACATAACATGTGTAAGATTTTGTTTATGGTCTTGCTGTTCAGATGGTAAATGCATTCTTTCAGTGGACTGTCAACATTGTTATGCAACACTGACGCTACAGGCATGTAACTGTGTGTCTGCATAATTTATATTTCACCAATTTATCCATTTGTATGTTGTTTTCCTTCTGTTTTTTGAAGTACAATTTGATTCAAAGAGAGAAAAATAACAATTACCCTGATAATCACATTGTTATTTATACTTTAATTAGCTAATTAAGCATCTTAATAACAGTATACTTCAGTTCTTGACTTTTTACCAAATTCATTTTCTAGAATGAGCCTGGAAGATGCATTTTTTTTAAATCGGAAATTTAAAATCTAAAGCCACTTATATATTGCACTTATGAATTAAGCAAGTATTTGGTTAACCTTTCATGTTCCACATGCAGCTTAAGATTAGCTTTAAATAATTGTGTTTAATGCTTAATGTTTACTATAAAGCAGGGGTGCCCAAACTTTTTATTATAAAAAGCCAAAAACAAAGTGGATTGAGGGCTGTGGGCTCAATATATACCAAATTGTATTGAATTTGCCATGCAGGGTAATTTAGAAAACATTGCTTTAAATCATTAACTATAGCAGAGTTTTATAATAAACTTATTACAGTAAAAACTGAAAAATCCAATTCATAATACAATAGGGTTCAATGCTGAATACAATGCCGAGCTGCTCCTGCCTTTGCCTTCATTTGCTCACAGATATCTAAACGAACTCTGGAGCGGATCGATTGTAGTGAGAAAGTAAATGTGCGTTTCATGTCTAATACGAAAGTGAAAGCATGCTGAACTATTAGCAAGAGCTGTTTATCCGTTAGGAACATTAACCGAACTGCAGTATTGCCAAGGGCAATGCATGAGAGGGTCTTACCTCTGATTTATATCTGGTGACAACGTCTGTGGGCGCCACCATTCAAAATTAAAGTGCAGCTTTTCGCTTATAATGTCTTATTGCTCATCGCCATAAATTAAAATAAGGACGCATGACAGCTGAGTGCGACTCTGCGAAATAAACCATGAAACTCTGACCAATGTAAGGAGAGTTTACTCACACGTGACTTGTTTTAGCTCTTTTGGTCCGTTTAGAAACTTTGCCGTGTGAAAGCGAACCACACAAAGAACAAAGAGCAACATTGTAATAATTTTAATCCCTGTTTCGGAGCAACTGAATCGATTCACAGGTGTGAAAGCACCCTCAGAGAGAAAAGAAAAAATAATTAATTAATTAAAAAAGTAAATAAATTTAAGAAATAAAATAGATAAATTTTTAATAGAAAAGTGTAAAAAACTGTACAGAATACACATATACATTGATAACCCAACATTACAAACATTAATCGTCAGGTATTTATACAATGTACCTAATTACATTTACAAATTTCTGTTTGCTTTTGTATTGATCAGTATTACTGCATAATACCGTTAAATTAAAACAATTTGTTGTGGATTGAGGGGAAATAAATGCACGTTTATAATATTTACAAACATTAAATTATTTTATCAGTAGCCTATTTTACAGTACTACTAAGTAAATCATAAAATGTGACTGGCATAATGTAATTTTGACACTGTGAAACATTTTTCAGTGGATGCTTTTACTTCACAGATTGTGTGATGTAATACGATTATAAAACATGAAATAAAAAGTCCCGTGCAATACGATACACTGTGTCAAGAGCTTAATCAAATAGCAAAACAGCTGAATCATGAGACTGAAGGAAAGTATAAACAAACGTCTTTTTCCTCCAGACACAGAGCCTCAAAGAGCTCACGCTTTTCTCCAGACGGCCTTACAAGCTGTAACAACCTCCCCTCCCCCCTAAACTACACACTATTTCTACAACAGGCCATTGGCCTACCATGCTAATAGTGTCTCGCAATCTGATTGGCTGGGAGCCAGAAAACCATTGTGGAGCAGCCAGTGATGGTGGACAGGAAAAGGAAGAGGACCCACTGCTCACAGAGGAAGTCAGAGAAACAACAGAGAGAAAGAGCGAAAATGAAAGAGTACGAGAAAGAAAAAGAGCAGGGAAAGAAGACTGATAAGAAAGCCAGAGTGGTTTTTGGATTATGTGCAGCAGTGTGCGTTTGTGTGTGTATGAACTCACTGGTGGAGTGGTGGCGTCCTCTGGGTTCTGATGACTGATATGCAGTGCTGACATCTCCAGTGGACTGAGAGGTTTTGATGCGAACCTGCTTACACACTGTGTGATGTGATGAAGATGACGCCTGTAAAATCACAGAAATCATTTAAAGTGCAAAAACAACTCATTATAGAGTAACATACTACAGTTTTTACAACCTGCTCTGATTCTCTGTCTACTTTACAAACCGAATGGGTTCCTACTGATTATTAATTTGCTAATATAAAAAGTCTCACATTGCTTTGTTCTTGTGTCAGCAGCATGATCTTGATGCTCTTCATGTTTGAACTGCGATCCAGCAGATCAATGGCTTTATCCAAATCATCCTGATCACGCAGGGGGATAGACAGCTGTGTGCACAAACAAACACACACAAACACTTTACAGATGCATTAACAAGAACTGTCACACTGCTAGCACCTAAATTAAAAGTGCACTCAGTATTTTTTTTCCTCTGCTTAAATATTTTTTAAAAAGTAGATCTTTTGTCAGTGAAATAGTTCTGTTAAAATTACAGTTTTACTTGTAAAATGTCATTTCTATACCTCTCATAATTCTAACTGATGCTTTATGCTCAGTTTTATTTTAAAAAAAATTTAATGAAAACAAAAGACCAAAGGCCAGAATTACTAAACAGGACAAATTAGTCCAAAAGCACAATCCCTTAAAGGTTTTGTTGAGTTTTAAAAGTGATTTACTTACAAATGCACAAATTAAATACTGATGTAGCAGATCATTTTCATGTCTGATGCAAGTGCAAATTACATTGCTAAAATGTAGAGCTGATAATGATCATGCAGTGCAGGTAACTTACAAACAACCCGAGAGTAAAAGGGTTAAGACTAGCTTTTTGAACAGGGATCCACTGAATTTCAGTCCACCGAAAACAGCAAAAAAGAACACTTAGCAAAAAATGTAAGACGAAAAAAAAAAGACTATGCTGCCTAGCAGTGTTCAGTGTGCTGGTTTTACTGAAACCCATTTATTTCAATGGCTTGCACTGTTCAAGGGTGGTTGACCACAAGCAAGTGAGCAGTGGAGTGCACCATCAATATTACATCTACCTTGGTCAAAGTTCTGAATAGCTCAATATTTCATTTTACTCAAAAACCTGAATGAACAGGTAAACTTACTAAACTGTAGGTTATACATGCAGTCAGCAATGACGCTGTCAAAAGTTGTACATTTTTAATAAAATCACTGAACAGTGTATTGTAAGCATTTGTGTTTAAACAATCTTATTTTTTACAGGGAGAAAATATAATATTATCAATTGATCAACATTTAAACAGTTTTGTGTCTTGCAGAACACAAAGGAGCGGTTCACACAGAATGCTAGGGGTGTCAAAGATAATTGTTTTTTCGGTGCACCGCGATGCAGACGCGGACAATTCGGAATCGGTTCAGTAATAATCATAACCGGTTATTATGTACTGACGTCATTTATCTCCTATGCGCTATGTGGCGAGGGAGGTAAGCGCGGGTATTTATAACACTCAGGAGCCAATTCAGGGCTGGGCCGTGTCATAGGAAGTATAGGCAAATGCTAAGGGCGCGCACATCCAGGGGGGCGCCAGAAATGAGCGCGGTTAAGTTGGTTTTGTTTTCTATAATCCTGACACATTCAGTTATAGCGGCAATAACTCAAAAACCTCTTACCCTAAAAAGATCTAAAGTGTGTTTCCTACAAAAAGACAAAGCTGGTTATGTTTCACAGTTGTCTTTTTCTTTCTTTTTTTTTTTTTTTTTCGCTCGACATTACGACCACTGCTCCCTTTAAGCCCTCACAATATGAATTTAGCCTGGAGAGCTCGCGCAGAGCGGAGTCCTTAGTAAGGGACCGTTCATACACAGTGCACGTTTCTGTTTACAGGCACTCTGTAGCTGGATCAGGATACTCATGATTTTTACTCAACCCATTATGGATACGTACCCCTGTATACATTTCTGTAGAGCGCAAAATACATCCCAAGAGGTAAAGTTTTTTGCAGTTTTTGTTTTCGTGAATCCATTAGAGGCAATTTTTTCTTATGAGTGCCATTTGCACCTGCTCTTCTTAAGAAAATCCACCTGAGGCCACTGTCGACTGACTGACTGATCGATCCCCCCCACACACTGCTTTTTTAAACCCAACCGACATTGTTTTTAAAAGCAATCCAGAAAAAAGAAGCCCTCACACCTGCCTGATTTTTACCACATTTTTAGAGGTTACCACATTTTCACCCTGTTTTTTTACTTGTTTATTTTATTTTATTGTTTTTGTCTTGCTTCACTAAACTCGAATCCTGTCGTTATGGTCAACTCCTCTCCGCATCTCAAGTCTGCTGACGTACACAATAAGCCACTGTTCAACTGGTAACAGCAGAAAAGCTGTTCATACATAGGTAAGTGGTCAGCTGCTAACGCAAAAAGAAACAGAAATCGTTGATGGAGTCATACCACCATGTAGCATTCATTTTAATGACGAAATGTAGCAATAAGTAGCTCTGGCTACATAATTTGCACTTTCCAGAAATGTACACGAGGATACATTTTCATAATGAGCCCGTGTTGCTTTTACTGAGCTTTAATCAAACAATTTCGAACTGTTGCCTCTTGCATTTTTAGACGTGTTCAGTGGGAATAAGCCCTAAGAAACCCTACAACTGTCAATATTTGCGACAGTTTGATGAAAAAAAAATCAATCATTTTGATAATTCTGTTTGTATCATTTTAACCTAAATAAACTGAGTGCACTTATACAAACATTCAGCAATCATTCCATAAAATGGTGCTAAAATAATAGTTATGAATGTCTTGAGTATTTGAACATGAGTACAGTGCAAACATAAGGGAGTGTCAGTGAGTGCATTCAAATGTGAATCAATACCTCATTATTCATATAATGCAGGTCTAACTGCTGACCAAAAAATGTTTTGACTTTCTGCTGGACTTCCTCAAACTGCACAGGCCGCCCAAACATCAGAATCCTATACAAACATATATAAACATACACACACGCCATGCACACAGAGAAGGGGGGGTTAAACAGGAAGCTGAGATTTCTTTAGATGTGTAATCCAAGACGGCAAGTCAAGTCAAACACACAGTTGGATCTGCAGAGCTAACACATTCCTGAAAGCACACCTAGCATAGCTGTGGTCTGTCCTGGCAGCCACGGACAAACCACAGTACTTTCCCTTTCCACCAGTGTGAGAGCTGAGCGAGAGAGAGAGAGAGAGAGAGAGAGAGAGAGAGAGAGAGAGAGAGAGAGAGAGAGAGAGAGAAAAAGAGGATGCCTGTGTGTATCCGTCTCAGTACACCAATGAACATGCTGTTTGCATTGCTATTTTAATATATACACACACACAGGCACACATGACCATTCCAGTAGAAATGAAACTCAGATTCACCTTCTTTCACCGCAGAACTCAAACTTAATCCTGACATCCTCCTGAAGAGAAAGAAAAAAAAGCTGAGGTCATGTCAGGGTCATGCAGGAGTCACAAGGTCAGAGTTGCTCTAGAAACAAATGTGTTTTACCAATCTGTTGGAAGAGCTGGCAGGGATGACAGGTTTAGTTTTTGCCGTGTCATAAGTTGTCGTTGGCTGGCGCCTGGTCATCTGCAGGGCCACCAGATCCTTCATAATTGAATGAAGAGCCTGTCTCTCGTCTGGAAAGAAAGAAATTACAGTTTGCTTATAATGATTGTAATGCTATTGGTTAATGATTGTAATGTTAGTTTTTATGGTCTTATATATATATATATATATATATATATATATATATATATATATATATATATATATATATATATATATATATATATATAATAATGATATAATGATATACAGGCGACGCAGTAGGTAGTGCTGTCGCCTCACAGCAAGAAGGTCGCTGGTTCGATCCTCGGCTCAGTTGGCGTTTCTGTGTGGAGTTTGCATGTTCACCCTGCGTTCACGTTTGTTTCCTCCAGTGAATTGGGTAGGCTAAATTGTCCGTAGTAAATGAGTGTGTGAGTGAATAAGTGTGTGTAGATGTTAACCAGAGATGGCTTGAAGGGCATGTGCTGCTTAAAAACGTGCTGGATAAGTTGGTGGTTCATTCCGCTGTGACGACTTCGGATTAATATATCTTTATTATCTTTAATCAATCTTTATTATCTTTAATCTTAATTTCACTTTGTTTGTTAAGCACAAATATTTGTCCAAAACTAATTCTAAATTTAATTCTAATTTCCAGTAAATTAATAAATGAAAAATAATGAAGTGTTGTCAAAGAAGTTATATCAACACACAGGTGCTATTCTTTAGCCCCATATGTTGATGTATTCTATTCTTTAGCCCCATATGTTGATGTATACGCTCTATATCTTTATATATTTAATTCTATATATTTTTTTTTTTTTTTTTTTTAAATCGATAAAATTCAAATTTAAAAAATCTGAAACTAAAATAAATTGTTTTATTACAAATAGACAAGTGAATTTAGACAGTAATAAAATAAAAATTTTAAAATATATATTCTGGTTTTGACACTGAGGGCTCTATTTTACCAATCGAGGCTGTGTCCGAATCCACTTTTGCTATTTTAGGGAAGGAAAAATCTGCTTTGCGCCCCGCCTCATGGCCTAACAGGGTTGTCTTGACAAGTTACGGGTGTGTTCTGAGTATAACTTGCATCAAACCAATCAGAGTCTCATCTCCCATTCCCTTTAACAGTCAGGTGTGTTGCACCATTGCGCATTTGCGATTTCAAGAGGAAAAACTGAATGCTTCACTAGCAAGAAACAGGTTAACAAACCATCTGTAGCACAAGAATAAAAAACGAGCCTCCTCCATTCGGCCTCTTTACTTTACTTTTACTTATTACTCCTTTACTTTCATGGATAACTGTGTTGTACACACTCCACTAAAGACATCCATTAGCCTACATATTTCATTTAGTTTGTTAAACACAAATATTTGTCCAAAACTAATTCTAAATTCAATTCTAATTTGCATAAAATTAATAAATTAACAATAATGAAGTGTGGTCAAAGAAGTTATATCCACACACAGGTGTTATTCTTTAGCCCCATATTTTGATGTATACGTCTTCAAAAACCCGACAGGTGTACAAATATAAGCTTGTTTTTATTAAACAAATATAAATGTGCATATAATAATTAATACTGCTAATAATAATAACTACATTATACAAAAGCAAATTGTCATGAATAAACTGAAAAAGCCCCCCAATGGAAAAAGGCATGCAGGCAGTGGTTTCGAATTTTTTAGAATTCGTTTTTAAACCAGAACACCCATGAGTCCACAAAGTGGTGCAAACCGATTTGCTATTTAAACACATGGCGGAAAACATGAAAATTAGGGTTGCACTGGTCTGAAAATAGCAACAAATCATGGCAAACATGTCTTGCTCCTTATTGCACTGGGTGTATGATGGGGGCCTTCAACGACATATTATATCGAAATATTAATAATAGGAAAATTATCATTTAGCAATTACATAAATATTTTGCTGAAAACATTCATTCATTTTCTTATTGGCTTAGTCCCTTTATTAATCCAGGGTCGCCACAGCGGAATGAACCGCCAACTTATCCAGCAAGTTTTTACGCAGCGGATGCCCTTCCAGCCGCAGAAAAAAAATGAACTTGCTCTACAGTTACAGCACAGGTGCAGAGGAACTGATAATGTTCTGCTCTCCTTTGTGAAAACACATTCTCATTCGAACTACCAGTGCTGCGTCAGTGCTGTGAAGCATATGAGAATAAGACGACTGTGTTTTTGAGATCTCTGTTCTCATGTTTGATATAAGAGCGAGCTGTGTCTTGGCTAAGCTCACTCCTCACAGAGGGAAAATATTCGCAGTGTGTTATTTGGACAGCCTTCACAAGCCTCATCTACCTAATACTGGGAACATGACAGATCAACCCAGACTCAGCCGTTCAACTGTAAAATATTTATTCATGTGAGAACACAGAATAGTCACTGTCTGTATGTTTCTCTTCAAACAGCTACAAACAAATACTTAATTCTAGGTGTCAAAGTAATTTCGTAGTCATTCTCTCTGATGGGACACTGTCAATTAAACAGGTCAAGCCAAATTCACAGAGAGGCAAAGAATATATAAAGTTAAAGGACACCTATGATCCAAAATCAACTTTTGGAAGCTGTTTGATCTGTTAGTGTGTCCACAATTGTATTGGAGTGATATTAACAAGTCTCTTTTTAAAAGATATCCTCACATTAAAATAGGATCCAAATCCCAGCAATTTTGAGGCCCACTGCAAAGTGACATAGGTCTGCGGTTTACCTTGCCCACTGAATTAATTGACAGGAGTGTATTAAAATGTCTCTGTAGTAACATATAAACATGTCCACAGAACAGTATTTGCAAAGAAACTGCAATTAAAAGATCTGTTCCAACTCTCTGTGATCAGCTGCACCGCAAAAATTAGTTTTACAAAATGTAAACATTTTTAAAACAGTGCATGTGTTGTAGTAAAGACAGTAAAAGCACAATTTAATTCATAACCGCAGGAATCACAGAAAACCATTACTTTGGACTGCAAAAAAATTACAATATAATTTTTTTAGTAAGAGACATCTTTAAAAAAATTTAAGCAGTGAAGTACATTTTAACCACTGAGAAACTATTAAACATCCAGCCAAGCTATTTATTAACACAATCAAACAATTAACAATGCATTTATTAATCTTTGTTGATGCTAATGTTACTTGAAATACATAAGTTAGTTCATGTGAACTCATGGTGCATAAACTAAAAGTTTAAAAGCATTTGGATTTTAATAATGCATTAGTAAATTATGAATAATGATAAATAAATGCTATAGATATATTAGTTCATTATTAGCTCATGTTAATTAATACATTTACTAACATTAATAAAACCTTATTGCAAAGTGTGACCAATATTTTTAAATACTCATTTGTTTTATTAAAAAAAAAAAAACTTGACATCAAGAAATAATTCAAAGCATGTTGAATACCCCTGATTAAAAGGGTTACATACACAAACACATTATGCAAATTAAGACAAAATGTGATGACTTACTCATTTTGCCAGTATGGATGTGTGTTATTTTGTTCAGATTTGAAGATCCTTACACACACTTTCCTCTAGCATCACCCATCAATGGCCTAAAAGTGGAACAACATTCAGGTTATAAAGAAACTCTAGATAAAATCAGAGGGTATATATAACTTCCCTACCTAAAAAAAAAAAAAAAAAAAAAACTGTAATAAATCTAACAAACAATGACATCACAGTAAACAACTGCCATAATAAAACATTACATCACCATCCATTAGGGGATTTTCATTCACAAGCATATTTTAATATTTAACTAGTTTACACATGTTTATTCAGTTAAACTTTGCTGATGCTAGATGCACAAAACATCCACTTAAAAAAAAATAAAGACTGTAACAGGATAATGAAATTGGTGCATGTGAGACATAAAAGAATGTAAGCTGAGCCGGCTGGCACAAAGCTTTGTCAAAAAAAAAAAAAAAATGAAAAAGCTGAGTGAAATAGTTACCATTCAAAAACTGGCAGACTTCAGTTTCACATGCTTGATTCAAAGAGTAAAGTCTAACTCAAAAAATGTACATTCCCTATAAACAACATGACTGTAATATTTTTTATAATTCATTTGCCCATGAACACATGTGGCTCATATTAACAAAAAGAATGTGAAAAAAGGTTGCACTATATTGGTTGTTGTGCTTTAAAACTGACGTTTTTGTCATATTTATCAAGGTTCAACATTCTAATGGTTAATATCATCATCAATAATATTGCTTCGAATGCTAACCATGTAAGTGAAGCTCTTAAAGGATAATTTTATATTAATACAAGTATATTACCCTGCAACCTTTTATTGTCTTTACAGGGGGAAAATGCTTTACCAGTGTCCAGACGATAGTTTCACATAATGTGTTACCAATTTCTCGGAAGGAATTAATTGAATCATAGCTAAGCTCTGTGCTATGCGTGGCATCTACAGTGTCAGTATTAATTTACTAAGCTTAGTGAAACTACGTTTTATTAAATAAGATTTGAGCACATTTCAATATTATTCAATTGTAATCATTACTATTGGACTGTGAAGAGACTTTCAACCAGCACAACAAAAATGTTTCTGAAGACAATCATCTACTGCACCTTTAATGTAGTTACTGTATAGCAATATTACAAATAAAGTTATTTTACATTATTACTGAGAAATAACTACACTTTTTTCATTCCTTTTAACAGAAAACATAGTTTTAAGCTAATAAACTAAATTTATTCCACTTATTTTTATTTGTATATAATAGTGCTATGACCAATGTATCAGAGACATAATATCAAATAATCAAGTAATACTGTATTTTCATGCAGTTTTTTTGCACAACAAATACCAAAAAAATTGTGGTATTTATTATTATGTTATTATTACAGTATTGTTTAGGTTTAGGGAAGTGTTTAGGTCAGCGGTTTGCAAATATAGGGGATCTGTGCGACAATTGCCACCTTCTCATGGAAGCATGATGTGTATCTGAAACTTACAATGAAACCTACATACCCTAAGCAACGCATTTCAGAATTGCAAAAAAAAAAAAAAAAGTAGACCACACCTAGTGGATTTGCCATCTGAAGTCCAGGGCAACGTGCAGGGCAACATATTTTAGTCTTCACAAAATGATGAATTGACATCTACATTAATACTCAAAAATGAGTTACTTAAATGAGACGAGACACATACAAAATTGCCAAATTCAAACTAAACGTGCAAAATGTCAAATATAACCTATCCTACACAACTTGGACCAGGTGAACCTTTGAGGGCCAAAATGACTAATAATTGTCCTAAATATTCAGTTTACGTCAGCACATACTTTAAAAGTTGAGTTCTGGTTAAGATTGCATCATTCCTAATAATGACAATACCTGCCTGTGCGTCACGAAACCTGTTAAACTCTCTTTTGATTGAACTAAAGTGGACAGAAGGAGAAAGAACTAACTGAGAACTGTAGAGAACCGCTCATCCTTCCAAACGTATGGTCAAGCTGAAATGATTAACCAATAGGATGAGGTAAGGAGCATATTTGTTTTAGCGCCTCTAGTCATGCAGCTACAAATGAACCATGAGAAATTAAAGGTCAGAAATCACTTATTTGCACCCATTCAGCCAAATATCCTGAGTGGCACCCAGGTGGCTTGACCCACCCCACCAATGAACACTCAACAAGCAGGAGTGTGTTCAGCCCCATCTGATGCCTCACTACCCATAAATCCCAGTCTAAGTTAAACAGACCTTCACCTGAACGCTCCACAGAGAGTGTGGTGAAAGTGTGCATGCTTTTTCCTTCATGCGAGTTCTGAATGGATATGTGCTGGAATCATGCCACACCACTGGAAACCTCCATTTGTGAAACACCAACTCCTGACCAAAACCATCTGACTTATAATCTGAACATTCCTCCATTTTATTGCTTTCCTATTGAACAAAATCTTTTAATACCATTTTTCATTCTAAAGATGTTATGTTTTTTGGTGGTGTTTAAAGCACAGAATATTAAATTCTTCAAAAAGACCTAAATCTTGACCAACAGGTAAGAATTGTATTTGTTATTACTGTATTTATTTGTTAAACAGTAGCCACGTCTGTGTTCAAAAAGTTAGTTCACCCAAATTTAAAGTCATGTTGTTAAATACTCTACCTCGAATCTAGGGCTGGGCAATATGGCAAAAATGCAATCTCGTTAATTATTTTCCATATTGAATGATATATATTTGGACATCAGTTGTTAATGCTGCCAGATTTAAAAGAGTAACCCAACAATAACAAAAGCCATAGAAATTAGAGGGTCCATTAAATGGCATAACATTTTCGGCCAACAAATTTTTGGTGGCCGAAAATTCGGTACGTCTCTAATATCAACACACTTCTATATTCCCATTGTTGCACATTTCTGCTATTTGATTGGCTCTTAGATCAATATAAAGTCAGAAAAGTCCAGAGCTCATCATTGTTATTGATATAAATTTTATCTTGATCTGATATATTATAATTCCAAACCAAAGACTTTTGGTCATCCTCAGAATACAAATTAAGATTTTTAAGATGAAAACGAAGACAGCAACAGTCCTTGTTCAGTCCAGAAAATACCAAAAATATCCTCATAACAGATCACATGCCTTCAGTGGTTCAAATGGAATATTATCAATAAGAAAATACTTTTGTATGCGCATAAAACAAAAATGACTTTATTCAAGTTTCTTCTCTTCAGTGTCAGTAATAGGCATGGGCCGGTATAAGATTCTGACAGTATGCTAACCTTAGATATAAATATCATGGTTTTATGGTATCGCGGTATGAGATAACTGTTCTAAAATGTATTCTTTTTAAATGTCTGGATAAAAAACAAAACTTTTTCACCTTTGTACACAATATATTTTAATTTGAGAAACATTTAAAATATTTTGAAGCAGTAAACATGTCAGGCTAAATAATAAAAATGAATAATAGAGTTCTACTTTCTTAATTTGTTTTTAAAAATGGCAACTTTGATCTTTTCTGCTGGAGATACTGCTGTTCTAAACAAATTAAGTAAATAAAAAAATCCTACTCATACCATAGAAAAGGCATAGCAGAAAATTTCGACGAATTTAAAACTTTGACTTTTCCAAACCGCTGTATACCTTGAACACGGTTATTGTCCCATGCCTAGTCAGTATAGGGTGCTTGACATGCTTGTTTGCACCTCTGACATATAGTCATGCATCTGTACTTTGTTTCAAACAGAGAAAGAAACAGAGGTGAGTACATTGGTGCAGTGCTCATAAACGTTGCAACTATAGGACCAATACTGACACTGAAGTAAAAAAATAAATAAATAAATAAAAACTGTTGAATAAAGTTATTTTTGCTTTGAGAACAAAAGTATTCTTGTAGCTTCATAATATTCATAATTGAACTGCTAAAAGCAACTGGTCAGTTTTGATTGTGCTTTTTGGTACTGCTCTGGATCAAATTTCATTAAAAAAAATCTTAATTTGTGTTCCAAAGATGAACAATGTTTCAAGGTTGGAATAACATGAGGGACAGTAAATATTGGCAGAACATAAGGCCGAGGCAAAATCATAATTAAATCTGTTGTGTACCACCTCCATGTATTGAACTTATTCTTAACGTATTTGCAGGCACGGCCATTGGAATCTTTTGGGCTTGAGATTTCCGGTCTTATTTACTTACTTTGATATTTAGATGGTAAAAACAGCTTGTTATGCTGCTTGATGTTGCATACAGATTTTTTCTCTTTTTTTCTACTTTTTATGTATAGTTATCAACAAACTCGTTTGTAGAGCAAGTAGTTTGACAGTCTTCTGCCTTTAAATATTCCTGATCATTTCTCCCATTAACAACTGAATCTGAAATTCTAAAACAAGTGCAAAAATGAGTAGACTTCTTGTTCTTGAAAAATAAGGTTAATATGGGTATACTATTTTCTAGGACACTGATATAAAACCTGTTTTTGTCAATTAATTTCCATTCATAATTCTTCCTTTTTAAACGGATATAGATTTACATAACCATATTGTCCCTCGCAACAGTAGAATAACAAAACTTTCAGCAAAGCTTAATATTCCAATACCAGTTCGACAACGGCTCACATGTCAAATGACTCTATCACCTTTCTCAGATTTTGAGTGGACTTATTCTGAGCACTAAGGTTAAATTGTTTATTGAACACATCATAACATCAAATCTTTGATTTGGGTTTTTACATTTTTAACCAAATATATTTAAATGTCAGAAGACTCACCAGACCAGACAACCCTTATCCAATGTTCTATTGTCCAAATTTGATAAGCAAATGTAGTCTTGGTGTGTGATTTATTTTTGTCCAAACATTCAAAACTATATAACAAGTAGGGTTAACACACACACACACACACACACACACACACACACACACACACACACACACACACACACACACACACACACACACACACACACACACAAAGTTACTTTAACATTTAAATGGATCATGGGGCAAAAACATACAGAGAACAGAAAAGTTTTTTCCTTCTCATCCAGTCGTTGACCCCCTCTCTGTCTTTTTCCCCCTTCTCCTGTTCTTAATTACCTTGTGGTAAGTATGTGTGGAATCTGGAGAGGGGAGAAGGCCGTTTTGTTTTGCTTGTATCCCTTTTCCATAGCTCACCAGAATCTCAACAAATTTCTCTTACCATTCCTGCCCCCAGCCACCTCTCTCCTGATTTTGAGCTGTTTAGTCTGTGGCTGGTTTTCCCAGCCGTGGCGCTGGCGCTGAGGCTGTTGGCTTTTGCTCACGGAGGGGCTTACAGTACAAGAGACTCACAGGCTTACAGCACAAATCCCCTCCAGTGTTCCTGTTCCCCAATGCTCTGGAGAGACTAGACTAAAAATGATTCCTGTCAGCTCTGGGGTAGATGATGACAAGTTATTCTAGATGGTGAAAAAGATCACTAGTTCACGAACTGGCCAAAAGCCATGATACATTATACATAAAGTGATCTGACACCTTCGGAGTAAGTTGTAGTCTGTGCAGTGGTTGTGTAATACTTGTGAAGGAATTTCTCAGGACAGTAAAAATAGAGATATAAACATGATACAACATATAATAAATCAAATCAGGAATAATTCACAAACAGTTTGCCAATACATCCCTGTATCAACTCAAGATCATAAACAACTGATTTAATGACTAAGGTGAATCCATGATGAGTTACCAAAAAGTGTTAAATGTAGACCTGTGTTGTGCAGAAATGTTAATAGAGGAGTGTACAATTATTGTTTTGTGCTAATTTATAATAATGGTTCATATCTTTCTTCAGTGTATTTGGAAGTGGAGAAATTAGTTATTAGTAAGCCCACACAGAATCTGCACATGCAGAAATCCATAGATTTTTACAGATTTTTAGCCCATCGAGTCTTTATTTACTTCCGTAAATGTGTGTACATTTATTTCTATTCAGTTTTAAAACACATTTCAGTGATATTATTGACTAATATGAAAATGTTTTTGATTTATTTACAATAAACTTTGTAATGTAATTTTCTCTGTCTTAAAGTTTAAAAAGTTTTTATGTCATATATATTACGTTTTTTTGTTTAATGCTCTCATAATCATTCCAGATAAATCCGCACATTTGTTGCAAATTTCTCTGCAGAAATAGTACAAAAATGTCAGCAGATTCTGTCTGGTCCTAGTTATCAGCTCTAAATGACAGTTTAGAACACTACTGGCCTACTGATGTGGGATTTTCAAATGTTGTTATGTAGGTTTCAGGTTAGCAATAGATTAATGTGATGCTAATGTATTTAGGAGTTTGACCTACAGTGGACTTTAATGATCACATTGACAAGTTTGGAGCACAAAGAAAGACACTGGATTAATCAACCAAAAAACTAAATATTCAGTCATTCATTCATTTTCTTTTGGGCTTAGTCCCTTTATTAATCTGGGGTCGCCACAGCTGAATGAACCGCCAACTTATCCAGCAAATGTTTTACCCAGCGTATGCCCTTCCAGCTGTAACCCATCACTGAGAAACAAGATATTCATATTAATATATAAATTATATCTTAATAAGATATCTTAGCTTAAACAACATTAAATGTTAGATACTTAATTTTAAAATGTCTAAATTAAGCTAACAATGCTTCTACAGCATATATTAATTTCACAGCATTTAACAAAACTAAAATGTCAGCATTTGATTTTTCAAAAATCAAAAAGGTTTGCTTTAAGGATGGCCAAAAATTTATATCTTAAAATAATTACACAAAGGCCAGAGTTTTAAAATTAGGTATGCACACATACTGTATGACGTTATTAACTAAACATAAACATGCATTTCTCCATTTGTTTGTTGACATTTCTCCAGCTGACCTCTAGTTTACAATATAACTGTATGACAGCAAATAAGTTGTACTCAAACTTAATTGAAGAAACAAATATAGATTTTACACAAAATTATCACAATTCAAGATCACTAAAACAAAGTTACATTAAAAGACTGCTAATAGAGTTTGGGTACTCTGCTCAAGGGCACCTTGGTCATGGGTATAGGTGGAAAAGCTGTTCATTCACTCACCTCACCTACAAGTCCTAATAAAACTCAAACCTGCAACCTTTTGAGTTCAAGTTCATATCTCCAACCATTAGCCCTTACAGCTGTGTCCATGTAAGAAAAAAAAAGTTTAGGAAAACTTGACCTATGCACTCCCTACTGAAAAATATAAACACAATTGAACCTACCTTAAAGCTTTAAAATAATGACAACAATAAAGTAATGAATGCAATGTTTTTAGAAAGCTTAGAATAGAAAACCTATTCTGAACATCAAAAATCGCTATTTATAATTTTTTCCAGTTTTTACACTGCATTCTTTGGCTTTCAAACCAAACACAAAAGCATAAATACATCCACAGGCACATGGCAAAAGAAATTGTAAATATTGAAAATAACTTTCAGTAGGCTACTAGTGAATCAGCTGATTGCTATGCAGTTTACAGTCTGCTGTTAGTCACACAGAAGCTATACAGTAATATTTATGAAGAGCAACAGAGAAAAACTATGCACATGGCAGTCTCTATATGAAATACACTCAAAACACATATAAAGCTGTTGCTAGGCTTAACTAAACTTACCTTTTAACTTTGCAAACACTCAAATGTTTACATGCTTAACTAATTACAAGCCTATTAATAACCCCTAACTTAACACTCACCTGAGCCAGGGGTTGAAATCCACCTTGTGTCCTGTCCTCCAAATACTCGATGTGTATCGTGCAGACACTCGCTATAGATACAGTTAATGCAATTTGACTGTCCACAGGTTTCCAGGCCGCTGCCATTGCTATCGCGCTCCCAGGCGCGCGGACCCCTGAGGGTCTCCCATATCATCCATAAAACCTGTTCCTCAGCTCAGTCGAGAGTCAAGCCCACTTAAATACACAAAAATGTAAAACATTCAGTCAACCCAGAGAGGGAAAAGAGTAGCATTACGAATGAAACACGGACGTTTCAAGAAGCAACATGTCTTTGTGTAAGCAGCATAACTAGTGCAGAGTTCAAAACAAATCCGAACAAAAAGCTTCAGCTCCAAAAGATAAAATGTCTTTATAATAACGCTAACTGTACATAATTAAGTGAGTTGCTTCGATACACACATAACGTTAATCCATACGTAATAGCAGAATGGAGGAAAGGAAAGGATTTCCGTGATTCTGATGGCTTCTTTTCCTGCTAGGTTTGCATATTTTTCCCTCCGTCGATTAGTCTGACCACTTCACTGCACGAATAGTTTGCACTTTCCGAGTGCAAGGCGATCCGACAATCTGTATATGTTGATGATTCCTGTGCGTGACAACTTTATACAGCCAAGAAGAACAAGAAAACAACAAGAAAAAGAGCCCTCAGTCCGATTGTTGGACAATCTCAGCATTATTATGCGACAAACGATTATGAATGAAGGCATGTGACTCTGAAAGCAGCCGTCGTGTGTCCACTTTAGACAAAGTAAATGCAGAAAAAACAGGATAACCGCACAGGGATCGCACTGTCGAAGATCTGGACAAAGAGCCGAGCGCGTTACAGTCAGCGGCTACTTGAACTTCGAGAGCAAATTCCCCTTTCCGTTGATGACGGTTAAACTCAGCGAAAGTTAAAACTCGGAGAAAGTGCGAGAAATGCGCTCCCCGAGGGCCGTTCAAGAGCTTTTGTTGATTTCAAGCGGCAGACGGTATCTTTAGGCGACATTAGTCCGAGCATTCTCGTGATGTTGATGGCGATAAACAGCAGATGCTAGAATGAATCTTTAGCTCCGAGTTTCCTGACAGCGAAAAAGCAGTTCGTCACCGGAACCCAATAAGCTCGCTTCCTTTGAAAGCAGCCGAAAGTTCGTCATTTTATAGTCCGTGCAAGACACCGAATTGTGTTCGCGATTTTTTTTACTCGTCACCGGGAGGAAAAAAGGTATTGCATGTCGTTTGTGATTCCCGTAACATGTTCAAGATGACAACTGTGAGCGTAGTTTGTGTACGCTCGGGGGCGCGCTTCTCCTCTCTTCAGTTCACGCTTGGTGACGTTACGCGCTCAGCATCACTGGCGCGCACACAGTTCTGACGTAGGAGGCTGAAGTGAACAATTATAGGTGAGTTTAGCAGTGGTCAGACGCTGGATGGCGGTGCTGGAGTCAGGTGAAGAACAATGGCTTCATATACAATACCCTTCACAATATTGTTAGTATCCTAAAATGTAGAGATATGGCTTACATTTTTTTTATTTGACCCCTTCCACTTGGTAAGACCAGTACTTATTAACAATATTAGACTACATTTATTTATTGTATTAAATAGACAAATGAAACACTACAATTCACTTAAATAAATGCCCTTCTCTTCTATTGTTTTACATGTTGTAATGTTGTCGAAGTTTAAATATATAGAGTTGCACTGAGAAGTAGGTAAGTTTGCTAATATTGGGCTACAAATAGAGAATCATGTACATTTTTATAGTGAAATAATTGTGTGGACACTATACAAAGAATTATTCAGGCTAAATATTTATCCTAAAGCATCAAAACACTTGTAATTCAGCATTACGTGTGTATGTGTATATATATATATATATATATATATAGAGAGAGAGAGAGAGAGAGAGAGAGAGAGAGAGAGAGAGAGAGAGAGAGAGAGAGAGAGAGAGAGAGATTAGAACAGGGGTGCCCAAACTTTTTCCTGTAAAAGGCCAAAAAACAAATACCATTGAGAGCCGTGGGCCGAAGGTAAATATAACAAACTGTATTACATTAAAGTTGTCATGGGTAATTTCCTAATTTATTAGAAAAGATTACTTTAGATTGTGTTAACTAATGCAGTATAACATTTAATAAATTATCTCAATTAAAGCATAAACAAATCGAATCTATAACACAGTAGAGTTCAATACTGAATACACTAGTCAAGCAGAACCTGACTTTGCCTTGATTTGTCCTCTATCCACCGGGTGACAGTATGTACATTAAAACTAAATCTGATTCATTCACACCGCTTAATTAAACATTTAATTTCAGTTACCTTTTAACAATAACACAAACAAAAGGTTACATTAGATTAGAAAAGACCGTTTCTAAAACAGTGTTTCTCAACCACGTTCCTTGAAGACCCCCAGCACTGCATGTTTCAGATGTCTTTCACACCCATTACAGGTCTTTCAGTCTCTGCTAATGAGCTGATGATCTGAATCAGGTATGTTTGGTTAAGGAGACATGGAAAATGTGCAGAGCTGGTGGTCCTCCAGAAACATGGTTGAGAAACACTAGTCTAAAGCATCTCCATCATTCTTCCCATTCTTTTCTATAATGGGATGGCAGGCCAAATCAAATGTTACCATGGGCCAACTTTGGCCCGTGGGACCTAGCTTGGGCATCTCTGCATTAGAACATTGAAGACACACTAAACTGTGATTAAACTTGGTATTTAATACTAAATACCAAAAACTTTTACATTTGTCATAAAACCTTAAGTTTTATGCCTATTCATAAATATGATGTCCACCCCCTTTACTTCTGTAAATAGTTTTTGTATAAATGGAAGATCATATAAAAGGCATATATTGTCGTTATCGTCTTTAGCAATTATGTAATTTTTAATAGTTTTCTTTTCCTGATTAGGGAATTAAATTCTGTAGAATTTTCTGTAAAAATGTCTGAAAGCTGTTGTCATTTTATCTTTTTGCAATAAAAAAGAAGTTTTATTTAGATGGACTGTTGATAATTGGTTGTGTGTTGACCTGACTGGGTAGCTTTAGTTGGACTGAGGAAAATTAAGACCTTTTTAAAATGATTTAAGACCTACAACACAATATTTTAGTGAATTTAATTCTTTAAGCCCTAAAAACATTTAGGTTTTGAAATTTAAGACTTTAAGATTTTTTAAGAGCCGCTGACACCCTGTTTTAAAAGGGCTACTTTTTACTCGTACTTAGAGTAAAAATTATCTGTTGTAATTATTACTCGATTTGCACTACATTTTTGGGCAAGTAATGGTACTTTTACTTGAGTCTGATTTTTCAGTACCCTTTCCACCACTGGTAACCAGAAATTCTGAATAACTATTAATTCATATACATATGTCAATCATTATTTCAAATGATCTTTAAATCTGTTGCAATGAGGATTGCAGGTCAGACACATGGACACACGCACACACATTTTATACTGTTCAAACCGTATATTGCATTGCCCTCACCCCACCCTAACCCTTAACCCAGCCATCACAGGAGACTGTGTGCAACTTTACTCTCTGATTAAACTCATCCTGTGTGATTTATAAGCATTTTGAGAAACGAGGACGTCACCAATGTCCTCCTATTTTACCTACTTTTTGTAATACTCGTGTCATACCCATGTCAATATACAGATGACACACACACACACACACACACACACACACCTGTAAATTAAAACATCCAAACCATGTGTTGATCAACACCAGCAATGTCATTTATTTAAATTTTCTCCAAAAGCATGTACAAAAATGAGAATTTAACAGAGGAGAAAAAAAAAAGACTTAGGGGAGTGAACGCAAGCGATGTGGCGTTTTATTACAAATTCTTGTAGGAGTTGATCTAAAGGGCTGATAAAAGTACTAAGACGAAAATAAACCTGATAAGGGACAAAAGAAACGAGAGCCAAGACCTCTTTCTGCTTTAAGGCCACCTTGTTCTGCTGATCAAGTTTTAGATGCAGAATAACACACAACTGTACATTGATCTCCTCTCACTCAATGCATGCAGACAGAGTCGACAGCGTTTAAAAATAATCTTTTGCAACCTTAAATATCCATACACTTACAAAGACACACTCGCACAATTCAAGAACAACAAATCCATCAGAGAAGAGCAAATAAGAGCGTACCTTTTTCCGGTTTTTTATGATGTTTACAAAAGACCATGAGGGTTTTGCAGAATATTGTGTCATTTGTACCTTGGCGTACTGCGTACAAACACAATTAACAATTGACGTAAACACAGTGATTTTTGTGTCTGTGGAAAGTTTGTTGCAAAAAGTAAAGCATTTTTGATAGAAATGACCAAATCTTTTACAGGTGCAAAAAGTTTTAGCAGGGGTGTCCAAACTCAGTCCTGGAGGGCCGGCGTCCTGCAGACTTTAACTCCAACTTGCCTTAACACACCTGCAAGGATGTTTCTAGAAAGCCATGTAAGAGCTTGATTAGGTAGCCCAGGTGTGCTTGATTGGGGTTGGAACTAAACTTTGCAGGACACCGGCCCTCCAGGACAGAGTTTGGACACCCCTGTTTTAGAGGGTGTGAAAGCAGATTATGACATTTATAAAAGCTGATGATTTTGGGAAAATAAATAAAAAAAAAAAAAAAAAAAAGGAACTAAAATAAGGCTTAATATGAAAATAGCATCATGCCAAGAGCTTTCATCAATTCTTCGAAACCTCGCAATTTCACAGTAATCTTCAATATATACATACACGGGGACTTCTGTAGCATTCAAGTTGTTCAATTATTTGGATGATTTTCAATGGCTTAGCAAGTCGAAATGGAGAAGAATCGCCTCAAACGTACAAACAAAAAGGCCATTGCACTAAAAAGGCAGACGAGACCACTGCAAAACACAAAAAAAGCCACTAAAACTGGACCCAAACATAAACACACCAGTTCCTTATGCCATCTAAGATTTACAGACACTTCAGAACAGTTTTACCATGTTACACCATTAAAACCGAAAGCAACAGTATTAAAACAGAGGCATTTCATTCATTCATGATGGCAAGATGATGTTTTGTACACAAACGCATGAACTAGAGGTCACAGCTTATGGCCACAGTGACAATTCACAACATGCAAAGTCAGTTTTTACAACCGACATGTGCATTTAAAACCTGGGATGGAAGTGTCGGTTTCGATGTACAGCAAACCCCTTCCTGCTTGAACCCAGACAATTTCAAGTGTGAAAACGGTTTAGTGAACAACAGATTTTAACAACGTGCACTTGGGTCAGTGTGACCCATCCATATTCCTGAGCAATGCTTTTTGAGCCATGCTTTTCAATTAAACACGCACTCAAAGTCCCACAAAACCTCGTCACAGAGAAGCCCACAGGAAATTGCCAAAAACTATGCGATGACAGGAAGTGGTGGAAGGGGGGAAAGGCAATGGCGCAAAGCATCAGAAAATGTCATTTCCTCTGAGACTTAGTTCCCTGTGAATATCTCAATTTGTCGTACAAGCTTGGTCCCGTGCAGCAAGACATAGGTACAGTACAGTGCTTCACAGTACATTCACTCTGCTTAGTGGTACTTGTGTACAAATGCCTTTGCAAGAAAATCACTGAGCATTCAATAATATGACTAAAAAAAACATTAAGATGTGCAGTCTGCTAAATAATAGAAAATAAAATATGACTAAAATAAGACATGAGGCATATTTGATTGATATGAGCATAGATATATCACTAGATGGCATCAAGAGAATAACCAATATTAAGTAGAAAAAATAAAGAAAAGGAATATTATCTTAAACACTAGAGGGCGCTACAAAAGAGACCATTTTAACATAGCAAAAAGTGTCTTACAACGTATTTCAGTCTTGTTTTCCTGAACAAATATCTACACCTGCTTAAATCAATATACATTTACTTGATAAAAGCAAGATGACAGATAACATATCAACTCTGTCTATAAAACAGGACTAAAATACTGAGTAAAACTATTTATTAAAGTGAGCAAGTTAATCTTAAACTTATAATAAAATTAACTGAAAATGGTTAAGGAATTACTTGAGCAAATATGGCATTTATAATTCTATTTTATAAAGATATAAATGCTTAAAAATAGGAATCTCATCATTGGTTAGCAGATCTTTTTGTAAGATTTAAAGATAAACTAAGAAAAATAAAGTGAAAAGTTGGGATGTAAACTCAAGTGAGTTCTTTAAAAGTACAGTGTACCCTGTAGATTCACAGATAAAAAAAAAACTCCGCCTAATTAAGAGAGTACAGTACAGATTGCGGCAAATAAAATGAAGGACAAACAATCAACAATCATAAAAATAAACACTTAAAATCGACTGTACATAAAAGATTGCTAGATTTGGATGCAACACCCCAGAATAGCTACCTGAGTGTTTAATTGAAACCATCTGGTACTACTAGCACTGCCAAACAGGATCTTAACAAGTGAATCATCCCACCAATATGGGACACAACAATTTTGGTCACAATCAACTAACTTCACGACACTAGACGGAAAAAACAATGAACAAAAAACGTAACAAGGCTAAATAAAACAGAACTTAAAATTGAGCGGGGAGCGGGAAAACAAAAACACAAAAGGGAAGTTGATCAACCCTATCAGGGGGTGGTATATCTGGCTCAACTGCTTGTGTAAGTGTGAATGTGTGTGTGTGTGTGTGAAGGGTCATGATTGGCCAGTGGAGGTGAAAGGTGAGCTTTGGAAATCATTGAGGATTATGCCGTCTTGCCGATGCTCTCAGCATCCTTAGAGGCCCAGAGCTCCTTGTGCTGCTTGCGTCCGAAGCCCTCGTCGTAGTTGCCTTTGCTCTTGAAGAGCTGCTGGAAGTGTGGTTTGCAGTAAAACTCGCCCTGCAGAGCTGCGTAAGAGCCCAGACTGCACACAACAAAACAAAACATTTTTAGAAAGTATGCACTGAATGATCAACAGTCATTTTAAATTGTAGTTATTTCTATTTAGCTAAGTATCTTGGGAAAAAATGTGTGGTCTCAAAAAATATTAAGCAGCACAAATTGTTTCAATAAGAGTGATAAAACTGATCACAAGACTAAAGTAATGATGCTGTATTTATTTTAATTTATTATTAATCTGAATCATGCTGCTTCTACACTAAAAGCAACAAGCATACTCCTATTAAGTCATCAAAATGCATACAAAAGCAGTGCGCAAGCACACGCACACGTATAGGAGACACTTTTATGTCTGTTCCTGTTGGCTGTGTTTATTCAGTGTGTGCCGGTGAGGAAGTGTCTAACCTGAGTTTGGTGTTGCAGTGCTTGCAGCAGAAGCACGCGGCGTGAAAGATGAGATTGTTGGCCACCAATCTCTCCATGGGATACACAGTCTTCTCACATGATGCACACGTCTCCTTTTGGGTCTTGAAACTGAAGGACTGGTAAGAAACAATGTGGCCGTTTATGGTCTACTCAAATCGGATCAAACGGATTAAAATAAAATCTTAAGACAAGCAAAATGAATAAGCACATAAATTACCAGACAAATTAAATATGATAATAATTAAATAATTCAATAAAAAGAGTTAACAAAGCAAATACACAATTAAAAAAGGCAGGTAAAAAAATAAGTTTTCAAATGAGAAAGTAAATAAAAATGTAAAGAGAAATGCATGAATAATACAATGCACAAATAAAGACCTTAAGTAAATTAACAATTACATAAATAATGAATACATGACACGAACAAATACTAGTTATGAAATAGACAAATAAAAGTAAATTTGATAGGCAAATAAAATAAAAAAACTATTATTTATATATTTATATACTTAATTGGCTACTCATGTATCTGCTTGTTTATTTATTAGCTTATTTTCTTTGCTTATTTATTTGTTTAATTATTTATTTCCTTGTATGTTAATTTGCTTTATTAGATTTTTTATTATTATTGGGTTAAGTTTATACATTTGTTTTAATTTACTTATGTATTATTTGCCTATTTACTTATAAATAATTGCAAATACTTGCAAATTACTTGCAAATAAAATAAAAACAATTATTTATATATTTATAAACTTATTTGGCTATATATCCAAGTTAATAGACAATAAAATGCATAAGTAAATTAAAGCAAATACAAACTAAAAATAATAATAAAATAAAGCAAATAAATACATAAGGAAAAAAATAAAAAAAAGTATATAAATACATTAGCAAAGAAAAAGCAAAAAAAAAAAAACATCTGGCTATTTATCTATCCGTTTGTATATTTTTTGCTTATTTCCTTTGATTATGTATTTATGCATTATTTATTTATTTATTTGCTTATTTTATTGTTGTTTTTAGTTTGTGTATTTGCTTTAATTTACTCGTGCATTTTTTGCCTATTTACTTAAGTAAATAAAATTAAAAAGCATTTATATATTTATATACTTATTTTTTCCCTTGTGTTTATTTGCTGTATTAGTTTATTTATTTTTTTTATTTATTTATTTTTTTTACTTAGATTAAAAAACAGCCGAATAAGTATAAAAATATAAAAATAATTGTTTTTTGTGTTTTATTTGCTAAAGTAAATAGGCAAAAATTATTAGTTATTAAGTAAATAAAAAGTATGTATTAGTTTATTTATTTATTTGCTGAAGTAAATAGGCACAAATGCATAAGTAAATTAAATCCATATACTAAAAAAAAAACCTTAAAAATAAACTAAAAAAAGCAAATAAATACATAAGGTAATAAATAAATAAGTATATAAACATATTAATAATTGTTTTTTATTAAGTAAATAGGCAAAAAATGCATGAGTAAATTAAAGCAAATACATAAAACTAAAAACAATAAGCAAATAAATACATAAGCAAAGAAATTAAGCAAATAAATATACAAGCAGATAGACAAAAAGGCAAAACAAGCATTTAATAATTATTTTTTATTTCTTAACTTAAATGTATTTATCTCAAACATTAATAAAAAAGGTAATCAAATATTAGTTTTTACATAAATTAGCTAATATGCAATAAAAAAAATCAGTAAATAAATATACAAAAATATTAAAAACCAATAGCAAATAAGCATACAAATGCAAAAATAAACAGGCAAATGAATATATGGCCAAATAAGCAAACAGCCATAAGTAAATTACAATTTGCAAAAATGCACAAAATATACAAATAGGCAGTAAACATGAGTGAATTAATGAACGAAGCAAATATGATTATTCAAATTAATTTATTGAGCATTTTAAACAATACTAAATGGTTCAAAACCCCATGGAGCTGCAAAACTGACTGATTCTCTACACACACACACAGTATGAAAGCAGATCGAGTTGATCCATTTAGCTCCATAGTTGAATGGTTGTAAAGGTATAGGAAATACTAAATAAAAAGCAACAAACCTTAGATCGTTGAACAGGCTTTTCATCCGACGTGTTCCTGTTGTCCTGGAAACAAAACAAAAAAAGAGAGAGAAATGAAGTCAGTGGTCCTAAGACAGGTTACCCATGGCAACACCGTTTCAGGCACTGCCTCATGAATACCACAGCATATAAATCCTTAATCATCCATCCATACACCACAATCATGCACCCATAACCAGACATAACTTCAAAAATGCTCCCCTCCGAGCACTTCCTCCAGTCTCTCCTGAATCCCTCCATCTGCTGTATGCTTTCACAAGCACCTTTTGTCTGTGCAGCCACAAGCACAAACATATAAAGAGGGATCAGCGAAGACAAAGCCTGGTGCACATTTCTAACCAACTCTAAAGCTATAATATGACATTACATAACGCAAGGCCATGTCCCACGGTCAACTCTGCACCAAATACTCTGTGGTGCTTAAAAATCGAAACAGCTGCCAAACTTTAACAGGCCACCACTTAAAGCTGCAGTCCGTAAAATGTAGCCTCTCTGTCGCCATCTCGATTTCAAACCTGCAAATGCAGTTATTGGAGGAATGATCCTTTGGCTTGGACTGCAAATAGACACAGCTTTGCAGATGAATCGTCAGACAACTGTGGATACTGTACTTCCGACAACAGATTCTACATCCTGGAAGTAACGGTTTAGCCTGAATAAGAATTTTCACCAGGAAAATGTTACGCAAAAAATGTAGGTCTACCATTTTTCTGACCAACAGAACATAACACGGAGGTTGGCTCATATACACCTTCTACCATGCAAATGAGTATGCATTTATCAATTGTACTTAAATTATAAAATGTCAGTACTGCATGACCTTGTTTATTTGGTGTTTATTAATGTTACCTGTAAATTTCGATTTCTCAACAGCCTAATTTCTAAATCTTACCATTTTAAATTTATATAAAAGAAACTAATAAGTTAATTATATCAGCTGCGGTGAACAAGGTCTATTAAAAGGCAACGTTTTATGGTAAAATGAGCCATCTTTTAATCATGTTATCTTAATACATTTTTATTATATATGTATCTGACCATGTTTGTCCTGCACACCAAGCAGAAAACATGTCAATGCACATGTCTAAAACCAACCAGAAAAGATTTGCTGGTTTTCTTGTCCAAAAATCTGTAACTATTTTAGTATGGATGCAATAGGCATGGGCCAGTATAAGATTCTGATGGTATGATAACCTTGGATAAAAATATCACTGTTTAAAAAAAGAATTTAAAAAAATATGTATAAAAATAAAACTTTTCCCTATTGAACACATTATATTTTATTTTGAGAAACATTTAAAATATTTTGAAACGGTAGTTTTTGTGCATATACCTTAGGAACGGTATAACAGAACATTCTGGTGGTTTAAAACTTTGACTTTTACAAACCACAGTAAACCTTGAAACCAGTTATCGTCCTATGTCTACCAGTCAACTAAAGAAACAAGAGATTTTGTTTTCCAGACCGCTTCTGAAGTTTTCAGGTTAATTACTACCAGTAGAGCAAGGCAGAGGTGGCATGTATTTTTTTTTTTATGTTGCAACTGTAAAACATGGCTGTTTACTTTCAGAATGTGTAGTGATGCTTTCTTTTCCCTGAAATAATGCAGAACATGTTGGTTTGAACATTAAAAAAAAAAAAAAAAAAAAAAAAAAGTTAAATATTGCATAATTTACATGCCATCGAATTCACGTTTTTCTTCAATATTATTCAGCCCCATAAATGATGTGATATACCAGCTGAATTTGGTTTGAATTTTTATATTTTTGATTCAATCCTCAACCCAGTAGTGGATTTGCCCTTCTTTGACTCAAATTTGAATTCAAAACACAAAATTTGATTTATTTATTTATAAAAGATGGCATGTTCCAGGCTGGCAGCACAGTGGCTCAGCTGTTAGCACCATCACCTCACAGCAAGAAAGACACTGGTTTGAGTTCAGGCTGGGCTAGTTGGCATTTCTGCGTAGAGTTTGAATGTTGAGTGAGTTTGGTGAGTTGAATAAACTAAATTGGCTATAGTGTTTGTGTGTGCATTTGAGTGTGTATGTGTGTTTCCCCAGTGCTGGGTTGCAGCTGGAACGGCATGCTGGAATAGTTTGTGGTTTATTCCGCTGTGAGGACCCCTGATAAATAAGAGACTAATACAGAGAAAAATGAATGATTGAATGAGTGCATGAATATATGAATATATAGAGATGATGAGAGATATAAAATCTATAACCCAGGGGTTGTGTTTGCCCTTATTTGACCCAAATTTGAACTAACGTCACTCAAAGAAGCACTGTCCAACACCTGAAACATTTCATTTTAAAAGCACACCCATATCTCTGCTTTAGTTCACCTTGGAGGTGACATTTTCATGTTAACAAAAGGCTTTTTCACAATGCTCCAAAATGAACATTTGAAAGTGCTGTTTATCTGTTGTAATGTAGAAACTATTTTGAAAACCAAACCTATAGTGACCCAGCAAGAAGGTTGATGAAAGGGGAATGTTTTTCCACCATTGTTATGGCTGCTTTCCAGCTTGACAGTGTTGTAAAAGACTACTGTCAGTTTGTACACTTCAGATTGTATTTGTTTGACCGAAACTGAATGTTTAGTTGCAGACAGCTGAACGTGTGGACACTTTTACTATGCAAAGTTCAGGGATGCAATCGTTTTCAGGCATAGCGAAAACACCCTTTAAAACATATCCAGATTAGTTTAGACAGAGCCAGACAGTCTAAAACATGTAAAAAGCGATGTGGTGAGCAAAAACACATTAACGAAGGATAGAAAATCCTGAAGTGACAGGTTTTTATGTAACTGCTCAGGTCTGACAGAATGCCAAGAACAGCTCTCCACCTCCACTACAGCATCTAAACTTGTCTTTTTGCGTGTAAATCTAAAGCTGGAATCTCACACATACACACAAGAATCTGCTGGTAGAACAGCTCATATGAATGGCCTCTCTTGTTGTGCATTTGGAAAAAAAGGAAAGTTAATTTGCTCAGCTCAGAAAGGCAGTGGAAGTATCAGTGATGACCATTATATCACATCAGACATTCAATAACACCACTTTTCGCAAATTACAGCCATTATCGAGGACTTCACACGCACTCATATATACCATCAAAGCTCTGAAATGAGATTACAGCCTCTCAGCCTCAACATGATAATATTTGCTTTCAAACAGAATAAGTAGAATGGATATCAGTATGAGATGCTGACAAACTCCTAATTCCTTTCATATTTTTAGATCCTTAATTTTTCCACTGGATTTTTAACACAGAAGAAACTGACTTTTTGTGAAGGTGTGAGATCAATATACTTCAAAGAACCAAAATCAAAGAACAATGGGTCGGTATAAGATTCTGATGTCATGATAACCTTAGATAAAAACATCACAGTTTTAGAGTATTGTGATTACTGCTCTAAAATATGTTATTTTTAAATGTCTGGGTAAAAACCCAAATGGCATCTTTTAATTAAAAATTAAAAAATAAAAAAAATTTAACAAATACCGTAGGAATGGTATAGCAGAAAATTTTGCCGGTTTTGAAGCCAGGACTTTTCCAAACCGCGGAATACTTTGAAAATGGTTATCGCCCTGTTTGAACTGCCATTGGTTGTTTTGATGATGTTAATAGGTGTTGCTCTGAGGCTCCACATTTTTTGACTTGGAAATCACTCATTTTCCTTTGGCTTAAACTAATGACAAAACGCCTTATGATGGGCACAAACTGTTGCAAAACACTGGAGCCTGGGCATGCGCAGAAGGACAACCAGATGGAGCCAAAGGCAGAGCCGTGGAATCAAGATTCTAAACAAACGCTTGTACGTCAAATCAACCATGCCCCCAAAACTTCTCATTTGACCACCCGTATCTGCACTATAACAAAGGCTTGCTAATATACATATAAGCCCTTGGATTTAAAAAAACACATAATAATATACGACTTAAATTAAGTGTGATGCAAGCGGTTTTTAAATAATTTACTAAAAACAATATACTGCAGGTTGAACTGCAAAATAAACACTCTCATACACTCTAGCCTAAGCTAGACTTAAAAAAATATTACTCTTACAACGGGTTGTTGGCATTTATTATCTTCACAGGGGTAGAAATATCACTTGTAAAATATGAACAATAACATATAAACAACATACATTTTAAAAAAGGTTTTTATTTTGAATTAGAAAAATCAACAGGACCCAAAATATACACACTAAGGACAGCTATTTTTCCTTGCAGGAAAAAATAGTGCGCTTAAGATTTCTAAATATCAACAGGATATTTATACACCCCATCCCTGCACTATATAAAACAATCCTCGTCAATCTCTACAATAAACATAGCAGTATTAAATACATTAACTGATATATGATATAGGCTTATCAGCTGCTGCAATTTCACTTGTATATGGTTTATCAAATTTTTTGCCTCTATTTTTATTTGGTTTATTCCATGGCTTGATATCTGGCAAATAAGCATTTACCTTCATTTTAATGTTTATTAGGAGATTTTAAATAAAAAGCCAAATGGTAAATTAGGTATAGAAATTATAGCATTTACAGCTCTATTTGTTATAGACTATATTCTTATAACTTATATTTGTTAAGTTCAAATAACCTTAAAGGAGATCAATGCGAAGATAGGCTAACATTATTTTTGTCCTCCTAAATTATTATTTCAGACCCATAAAAAGAATGACTGCTAGATAACCATCACCTGTATTTTCCCCATCAATGGCTAGGCGTGCATCAGCAAACTAATAATAAAGCCTGATAAAACCCTCACTTTACCAAATAAACAGTGATCCATCAGATCCTGTTGGTCAGAAAGTATAATTTACTGCTGAACAAATCATTTTACCATGGTACAATAACTCAGAAATGGAATAACACCTCAATCTCCTCCTGAAGCTCTGACGATCTGCTTTGAGAAACTGTCAAAATCACAACTGTCAATCATGATGACACGCCTCATTTTTATAGCATTACATTACTGGCTAAAAACATACTCTTTACAAAAATGAAGATCTGCACCAATATCAGCTTGATCCGCCAGTGCCTTAATGGAGTAAAACCATATTTTGGGACATTTTAATGCAAGTGTAGTCATTTTTTTTATTTGGGTTCAAATCTTGTTCATTAACATGGAGGAGGGCGACGCAGTGGCGCAGTAGGTAGAGCTGTCGCCTCACAGCTAGAAAGTGGTCGTTGGTTCAAGCCTCAGCTGGGTCAGTTGGCATTCCTGTGTGGAGTTTGCATGTTCTTCCTGCGTTTGCGTGGGCTTCCTCCG